CGGGGACGCGGACGGTGGCATTGCGTTGCACGGTCGCGGAGGTATAGCTGACGGAGCCCAGTAGTTACTTACTTAAAGGTCGAGTTATACGTACAACCTGCGTCGGAGGTTAGGATAAACGTCCACTTGGTCGTATTGTGTCGAACACAATGTATCACACGGATTAGTTTGTGTTTGGATTGTACTTATGACAGCCAGATTTCAAAGCAACAGTATTTGGTCTATTGGCTAAAAGTAGCGAAGCAATCACTGCATACCGAAGTGGTCGGTGTCGCATATCCGCAAGTCAGTGGAAGACTATCTCATTCGACTGTGAAACAAGAACAGGAATATTCCCGACAAACCGGTGTCTTGGGTCGAAAGTACTACACTAACGCCGTGTTACCAACTCTACACAAGTCAACTGAAATTTTTATGCAGTTAGAAAAGCGCCCCTTGAGGCAAACATAGGTAAACGTTCCAACCCCAAACAAATTTGAGTAACTTTTACGGTATCGAGAACCGCCCAAAACATATCATTACGGATCCTCCCGATCCATTAACGGTGCTTTTAGGTACCACCAGCACCCTTCACCGTCCTCGTTGAACCCGTCGCTTGCGACGAAGGGCTCGACGTGCGAATTAACCCATAGACACAGCCCACTGAGTTTCTCGCCGGATCTTCTCAGTGGGTCGCGTTTCCGATCCGATGGTAGATTCTGCGAAGCACTGCTCTTTCTAGGGCCAATGTTAGCAACACTTCCGGTTTGAGCCCCGTGAGCTCATCTACATGTTAGGCTAAAGCTGAAATAGCCTCTCAAGGCTATCAGTATAGGTAGGAAAAAGCAGCTAAGCACACCGCATCGAAATATAACTTGGTAATCCAGTCGAGTCACGGTACAAGGTTACTCATATCGTCGCATAGTAAAAGCTAACACAAGCGCTCAGTGGAAGTTGTTCCATTGGCATTAAAAAACAAAAACTTTTATGTATTCCATACACACTATTATATTAAACACGTTTATACAGAGGACAAAGTGTAAATACACAAAACATCAGCCGGAGCCGTCACAACTGTCACGAACCGGACATCCGAGTCCGCCTACATACGACGCTGGGATGTTTACGTCGTCACGCCAATGTGGGACAGTCCTATAGGTGTCAAATGTGACAGGTTACAGAGTACGTTTTGACATGTCGTTCTAGTTGATTTTCATTTATCTTTAAATTAATACGTGAAGCAAAAACTTTGTACCCCTTTTTACGAAAATTGCGCGGACGGATGAGTACGAAATTTCCCACAGTTATAGACAATACTAGCGACCCGCCCTCACTTCGCTTCGGAAACATTAAAACACACATGAAACAAAAAAAATAAAATAAAAAAAGTAGCCTATGTTCATCAGGGACAATGTCGGATTCTAATGGAAAAAGAATTTTTCAAATCGGTCCAGTAGTTTCGGAGCCTATTCGAAACAAACAAACAAACAAATCTTTCCTCTTTATAATATTAGTATAGATATAGATAGAGGAGGAGTGCAGAATGTTTTTAAATTATGCCTAAATCCATAAAAAAACATTACACACACTATCATGTATTTGACACACACCCGCATGCATACTTACTAGTTTATTGTCAAACTTTTATTGTTTAGAGTCTGTGGTCAAATTGAAAATGGAGTAATATTGTTTGTCTTTATTAATTCTTGTCTCATCATCATAATAGTGTACAAACTTATAATTTAAATTAATTATAGTCGAATTTCGACTACCAGGGGATCACTAGTTTTAAGAAAATCGCATTATGATGAAATTAGTATTTTTGTCACGCGCTAAATACAAGGGTGGTCTGTAAAGTGAAGCTTAAACAAAATGTGATTTTGTTTACATTTTTTATTCTTCGAAGAATCGCGTTAAAGCTATCAAGTCGATTTCGATCAAACTCGAGCTTAAAAACGTTTGATTGACGTATACAATGGTATACTCGTAGACGGAGAGTCATAGGTTTGTTTTCGTAGCTAATACTGGTATAAACTACCTCCCGTACCTAAGCGAAACATATATCTATCTATTCATTGAACAATATAAGCAAAAACATATTACAGTATTGCGTTTTCGATTTCTTTGTAAGTCATAGGCGTTACCTAAAAATACTTTTATCGTTTAATCTCGCCTTTATTAAATATTAAAATCTTGTGTTTATTACTTACTCGTAAGTACGGGATTAAACCGTAAAAGTAGTTTTAATTACACGCAAAAATGTTTATGGCTCATCTGCCCATAATCAGTGAGACAGCAATGCGAATCTGAGACCGCGCGTTCAGTGTTAAACTTTATTTATTGACGTAAGTTTTCTTAAGTTAACCTAACAATTAAGTCAAAAAGTCAAAACAGTCGAAAGATTGAATTGAATAAGATCACACCAGTCCCTGACTAAGACCACCCTTTAGTCGTCCCCTTCGGGAAACACATTTGACGTGAATGTTCTTGTTGACGTCAAAATGATTATAAAGTTTCTGCTATTGGTTTTCATTAAAATTGACAATTTGAGAAACACGCGGAAAGTTAAAAGCAAGATCACTCCGTTTCCATATGTTTTTGAAGTGAAGCTTCTTTAGGCGCGTTGAAAGTGAAATTAATCTCGCGACAGATTCGTTACGGCTAGAGAGAAAAGATACAATTTAGGAAGAGCGAGAGTGAGAAAATAGATAGAGCGTTTCGCGAACCATTCGACCGTGGAGAGATGGAGAAAGCGAGCTAGATTGTTTCTTTATATACACATCGTGTATCCTACGGGCGTCGGCCAGTAGATGGCTTGTTATTAGTTTCTCATTGCTCGTGTAGATGGCAGTAACATTAACTATCTTATATTTTTATAAATGATTTTTATTAAAGGATTTTAGTATTTTTTTTCTATATATAAGTATATCATTTAAAAAATATATAAATGGTGAAGGGGTCTTTTCTCACACAACATTCCCTATTACAAGAGAAATTTCATTTAAGGATGAAAAATGAAGAAAACCACAATACTACACACCGCAAAAGAAGCTTAACTTCTTTCAAGTGCACCAAGTTGCACACGTACCACTTTTTTATAATCTTGAATTTAACTTGCAATGTTTGTATATGAGTATTTAAGTTTTTAGGAATGACATCGACATTGTCACGAGCGTAGAAACGCTTCTTAGAAAAGAAGGAAAAAAATATATTTTAGAACAAATTTAGATTTAAATTGTGGGACATGCTTTTATATCATATAAATTGTGTAAATATCATAGATTGATGATTGGGTTTGATGTTATTTTTATTTGGATAATTAAAACAAATGATTGTTTTAAAATATTTATAAACTTCGAATGTGATTTATTGCTCTGACACAATCGCTAATCCACTGGAGCTAAATGATTACTGGATCTCATAGAGCCTTCAACGTCACAACTGATCTGAAGATATCAGGTCGAATTCATCACTACATAGTATAAAACAAAGTCGCTTTATCTGTCCCTATATCCCTATGTATGCTTAAATCTTTAAAACTACGCAACGGATTTTGATGCGGTTTTTTTTAATAGATAGACTGATTGAAGAGGAAGGTTTATATGTATAATAACATCCATTAAATAGTGAAGAAATCAATAATAAATTACAGTTTCTGAAGCGAAGCGAGGGCGGGTCGCTAGTAATTGTATAAAAGCCTATTGTCAAAGGTGCTCCGATTTGAACGGTCATTGACCCTTAAATTTGCTAAGACATTCGAAATAATAACAGGTACGTCCTGATTGTTCAGAGAAATGAGAAATATTAACGTAAATATTGATCTGCGGGAAATGTTTTCTGTTAGCGCCTTAACAAACACGTCTTATAAGTAAGTCTGAATTAAATTGAATCAAGCCACCTGTTGGTCAGCAGACAAAGGTTAATGGCAATCGAAAACCTTAAAAACGCCTGTATTTATATAGACGCTTTTATTTTTCAAAAATATATTGTTATTTAAAATCAATACCACCTTGAAATTTTCGGTAAACTTCTTTTATTATTATCGTATAGGTTTTATTGGATAGCTTCGTGTACGGTATTTTCGGTTGAATTTTTTGTTTATTTTTATTGTTACTGTGGTGAATGTAAGCTGCACAATTTGAAAATACGAGGATTTACCGGTGATAGGCTATGTTGAGAGACCAGAGAATATAATACATACGTATTGCCTATTTCCGCCGAGTATCAATCATGTGTTCGTGTTTGATTGATAGATAAAGAGAGATAGAGAGAGAGAGAGAGACGGAATACACTTTATTGCACACCAAAACACAATTTACATTCAAAAACAGTCAACAAGCAGATATATTTGTACAATAGGCGGTCTTCTCGTTAAAAGCGATCTCTTCCAGGCAACAGTTTAATTTACAGAAATTCTGGAAAATATAAAAATATAGCAGGTATGTTGCGGGGATGTACTATTGGCAATACATTATTATAGAAAATATATACATACAATAAATACATATATACCGTTTAAATATAAAATGAAATAACTATTTGATTTATATACCAATATACATACTTACATACTAATATACTATTTAGCTGTTATTTTAATGCAAAGCATCTTTTCGCCTTGCGTCTTTTGTGTCGTGTATAAGTTTCTGTAATTACTCTCCTACCTAGTTTACCTATTTATGTACGCAAATGAAAAAAGTGCACTACAACTAACGACGTTTGGGTGCACTTGCACTTTTGTCCCGTCACGAGTTTTGGTCACCCTAACCGCTGCCCGTCCTTTTTGTGCCAACGTAAATAGGTCAAGCGGCTTTAAAGCTCATTACCGCGACACACACTGTCCAAGTGCCGAAATAAATATACGTAATGTCGTTAAAAAAATTGATCTTTCAAAATAAGGTCCCGCGAGCCCGGGCACATGCACGCTCCCCTCACCCCGCACCTCTCTCTGACAGCTGTGGCACGCCCTGCCACTGCAAATGCAAAGAATTATTAGCACTACAACAAATGCTGCAACTCACCAATCTGCCGACGCATTTGCTCGTCGATACCCTCCTGAGGAGGGCTTTTCTTTCCGCGTCATTATCGCTATCGGTGCTATCCTCAAAGAACCCTGTTTTCCTCGCATTATCGGACGCGTTACCATGAGCTACTGACATCACTCCGCGGGAAATCGCGCACCACACACACCGCACACCTCAATCGCAACTACATCATACAGGATAAACTAATAATTTACATTGTATACACGGATTGCTACCTCGCTGACATTTCAAGCGAGCGCCATGACAATAGTGACAGTCCACTGAAGCTGAAAACAAAACAAGGCGAACCGCGGCGGTGGCGGCATCCCACCGTCGAGTTACGAACTTCGCTGAAACGACAAACGCGAAAGAGAAAATAGCCGAGAAATTCATTAAAACAACAGCATAAGAAATTGATGTGGTTCCTACAGACGGCTACAGATGGCGTTTTCGTTTATATCGTCAAAAACTAACTTAAAGTTTTGAATAATTAAATAAGTTTACACAAATTACTGTATTACTGATATGGTTATTGCTAAATAAATTAATTATTTTATAGCTTGATTCGTAAAACTTACAAAAAGTTCTAACTACATTATTTTATTGGCATATTTTTATGTTTTACTTCTAAATATGACATATCTTCTTTAAAATACTTCTAGAATATTTTTTAAATTTTCTGCATCTGTCGCATCACTGAAATTTCAGTCATTCTATTGAAATCCGACGTACGATGAACACAGTGTGAATTTGCTATTTAACAATTTTTTTTTACTAGTTTTAAGCTAATGTTAAGCATTTTATACAACATCTTTTGCTAGCTTTTTAAAGTAAATTTACAAGTATCTGTGACGAGAAATCGATAAATTAACAAGATGAGGGAAATTATCAATCTCCAGGTCGGTTCTTGTGGAAACCAAATCGGCGGAAAGGTAAGCATGTTAGCTATTATATCCCGACTGATTCTCAGGCAGTGAAGCCATTCCCTTCCGATAACAATGCTTAGTCTAGAATGCCGTCATCGGGCCGTCATAGTCTCTGCTGAAATATAATTTTTTATTTTTATTTATACTTATTGTACACAAAAAGAAAATACAATCAAAAACAGATTTAAAGAATGTCTAAATACTATGTACAAAGGCGAGCTTAACTCATTCATGAGTTTTCTTCCAGCAAACCATTATCAGAGAGAACGATGTATAAGAGGGGAATAGTGTACAATATAAGAGCTATTAAAGCATGATTTTTAAACTAAGCATTAAAAAAATAATCTAATATTAAATGAAAAATACATATAAATAAAAATACATAAAACAATAACTTAAATACGATTAAAGTGACAGGAAATGTTTCTTCATTTGACTCTTAAAAACTTCTAGAGAGGAACTAGCACGAATAGGTTGAGAGNGGGAATAGTGTACAATATAAGAGCTATTAAAGCATGATTTTTAAACTAAGCATTAAAAAAATAATCTAATATTAAATGAAAAATACATATAAATAAAAATACATAAAACAATAACTTAAATACGATTAAAGTGACAGGAAATGTTTCTTCATTTGACTCTTAAAAACTTCTAGAGAGGAACTAGCACGAATAGGTTGAGAGAGAGAATTCCATAATCGCACTGCTTGTATTGTGAAAGAGCCACTATAGCGACTAGAGCTGTGTATGGGAGTTTTTAAAAGAGAAGTGGCTTGTCGACTAACTTTGCCGTCAAGAATCAGATATTCAAAGCGTTCACGGAGATAGATAGGGGCATCAGGATTGTGAAGAATAGAATAGAGAAAGTTATTTTCACGTAGGATTCTTTGCGACGGATCCGAATTTTAACACCGTGCGAGCTTGTGGTATATGTAGAGAAACTGTTGTATTACTAAGTCAATTTTACAGGACGTTAATGGAGAATTTTTTTTTTACTTACGGCCAGCTCACGACCTACTAGTTCATCAGAATTAACATACTAAATATGAATTGATTAATGTGAATAAAATAAGTATATGCTCGCGAAAGGTTTATGACGTTGACTTGCACATGTCTAGAATTGTTATGATGAACATGAATCTCTTTACCGCTTTATACCGCCGACACAAGTACTATCCGTAGCAATTTCCTTTACTCATTAATACTACTTATCCACAGTTCTGGGAGGTGATATCTGACGAGCACGGCATCGATCCAAGCGGATGCTACCACGGCGACTCCGACCTGCAACTCGAGAGAATCAACGTGTACTACAACGAGGCATCGGCTGGGAAATATGTTCCTCGCACGGTTCTTATCGACTTGAAGCCGGCTACGATGGACGCGGTGAGGTCGGGACCGTTTGGATGCCTATTCAGACCGGACAATTTCGTTTACGGACAAAACTGTGCGGCCAACAACTGGGCGAAGGGACACTACACTGAAGGAGTAGAGATTCTGGAGTCTGCTTTAGATGTGATTCGGAGGGAAGCTGAGGGCTGCGATTGCCTGCAAGGTTTTCAGATGTCACACTCGCTCGGTGGCGGTACCGGTTCCGGATTAGGTACGCTACTCGTGAACAGGATACGCGAAGAGTATCCCGACAGAATTATACTGACCTTTTCAGTATTTCCAAGTCCCCGAGTGTCGGATTGTGTGGTGGAGCCATATAACACAACGCTGGCGGTCAATCAGTTGGTCGAGAATACTGATCACACGTTCTGTCTCGATAACGAAGCATTGTACGACATTTGCTTCAGAACGCTGAAGCTAACCACACCGACATACGGGGACTTGAACCACTTAGTCTGCGCCACGATGTCCGGCATTACGACGTGTTTGCGGTTTCCTGGACAGCTGAACGCTGATCTGAGGAAGTTGGCTGTGAACATGGTGCCGTTTCCGCGCCTGCATTTCTACACCCCTGGCTTTGCGCCGCTGACGTCGCGAGGAGCTCAACAGTATCGAGCTTTAACTGTACCCGAGCTGACGCTGCAAATGTTCGACGCCAAAAACATGATGGTCGCGTGTGATCCTCGACACGGGAGGTATTTGACCGTTGCGACGATATTCAGGGGGCGAATGTCTATGAAGGAAGTTGACGAGCAACTGGCGAATATTCAGAACAAAAACAGCACGTATTTTGTCGAGTGGATACCCAATAACTGCAAGATTGCCGTGTGTGACATACCTCCGAGGGGTCTTAAAATGGCTTCGACCTTCATTGGTAACACGACGGCCATACAGACCATATTCAAGAGGGTGTCTGAGCAGTTCGTGGCTATGTTCAGGCGGAAAGCCTTCTTGCACTGGTACACTGGTGAGGGTATGGACGAAATGGAGTTCACGGAGGCAGAGTCAAACATGAATGACTTAATATCTGAATACCAACAGTATCAGGACGCTACGGCTGATGACGAAGGGGAGTTCGACGAGGAAGCGGAAGAGGGTTTAGAGGAATAGGTTTTTAGGCTGTTCATTTGTGTATGTCTTTGTATCGTTGTTTGAATAAACTAAATCGATTTTATTCCGAATTTCATTATTAACGAGCATATTTTTGAAGCTTACAATATTCAATATCTTACAGAGCTTTCTATGGATAGAAGCGCCTTTAACTTCTACATTGCTAGATTACAAGATATGCTGCATTTCTGCAGTGGAGATCATTTGGTTTCAATGGTAGTGTAGCCATGAAAATTGGGCCAGTTTCGAAGACTTGATAATATAAATTACAATTATAATTGGCAAAAAATGCATTAAGATTGCAAATATTTCATTTTCAATGAAAAATAGCGTTTAATGTAGATGCCTAGATTGAGGACGGCTGTTCTTTAAATGTGCATAAATATGCAGATTAATTAAAATATACATTTGGCGTTAAGTTACAATCTGAATTCCACCACTCGCCGAGTAATCTTATTTACCTATACTTCAAACCGGAAGGCACGATTGCTTTGCGGCAGAAGTAGGCAATATAATCACTACCTATATAGTTATAATATAGGCAGAAGACACCCTACTCATTGCTTACCTAGTATGGTGGTAGGTATATATCTATTTTGTACATCATGCGCATTACTAGTGATAGGACTTCTGGTGATCCCGCACGGATAGGTACCACCACCCTGCCTATTTCAGCCGTGGAGGGTGGGGCAGCCGTTGTAACTATACTGAGACCTTAGAACTTATATCTTAAGGTGGGTAGCGGCATTTACGGTATAGATGTCTATGGGTTCCGGCAACCACTTAACACCAGGTGGGCTGTGAACTCATCCACCGATCTATGCAATAAAAAAAAAAATATCTACGCAAGTCGCCTGCCTGCGACAAGCTCAGGACGTAGCAGCTCCTTTCGTAAGTACCTATGTAGGTGCAGCGTTGGCTTACTGTTTCACATTTTAATCAATTTATTAATTGATTACTGGGCATAAATAAAAGCAGAAGACACTTAACCTACGATACCTTATTGTCTCAATAATGAGAATTATATCTGCATACTAAATGTATCCTAAAGTAACTAATACTAGTATTTTCTGTCGTGGAATTATCAAGCAAATGGTTCCGAAATTGAACAGATTATTGAATTAGATTTTTTTACAGTTGACAGCGGCCGAGCATAAGACCTACTTACTGTATGAGAAGCAGTTACCACTAACAAGCGTCTGCCTACTTGTCTAATACTATAATAGTCGGCACGTTAACATCACAATACCAATGCTGATACGTTGAGATATGATATCAAAGTCTCTTCTTCTTTTTAATCATACTCTCACTGCTGATGATCGTGACTCCGTAACGCTTTTTCAGCCATTCAATAAATCTGTTTCACGCGATGAACCGTTTGGTGAAGTGCGGAGTCAACACATATTTTCAGGTGAGTTGCCTTCCATCATCAGCCGTTCCAGGTTTTATTTTTTATTTTATTTCTTAGATGAGTGGACGAGCTCACAGTCCACCTGGTGTTAAGTGGTTACTGAAGCCTATAGACATCTAAAACATAAATGAGATATAAGTTCTAAGGTGTCAGTATAGTTACAACGGCTGCCCCACCCTTCAAACCGAAACGCATTACTGCTTCACGGCAGAAATAGGCAGGACTCCTTCTGGCAATATGCCCAAAATATCGCAAACTCAAAGTCTCAATTAATTGAATTTTAGAAAAAGTATACACATCTAACAAAAAGTTTTGTTTCCAAAATATTAAGACGCTGGCTAAAAATCTTATGTGAAATTCAAATTTAATATGTTCGATTCCATGAAAAAACAACGAAACAGAATGTTCCTTTTCAAAACTCATTCTAATTGAAAATTTCGTGTGTGATGCAACTCTTGTAGGAAAATCATTGCATTTTTATATTAATTTTTTTTTTACATGATCAAATTCTCGAAAGTGTTTATTTAATATTCGATTCGGGGGGTTCCAAATTTTTAGTGCAATCATGAGGGAAATCGTCCACATCCAGGCGGGTCAATGCGGGAATCAGATCGGAGCAAAGGTACGTATGTGAATAAAATCTTGGTGTACTGCCCGCTTGGTCGTTGGTCAAAGCCGTTATTATTGTGCATTTCTCTCAAGACTCGTTTTAAGGACTTAAAGAGAGAAGCACAGAGAATGTTTATTCCTTAACCTAACAGCACATGGTAACAGGATCCCTGGGAAACAGCAATACAGAGCTGTGTGCATTGCTTAAAAATAGTAGGATGCTTTCCTGTAAAGCCGAACTCCGCTCCAAGCCGACAAGCGGTGCGATTGTAAAATTGAGGGGATAATTTTAAACAATTCCTCGAGCCCTCTTATTTCTACTGAGTACCTATTTCGATAGCCCAGACATCTGCATTCACTGGTTATTGCCGTCACCAGCAGATTTCTGAATTGTTTCGCTCTGCAATAGTAGTCCCGCAACACAAAGGGCACAAAATGCAAAGCCCACATTTTAATTTTTAATTACTATTAGTTTTTTGGTCGTTTTCTAAATATTAAGACTTTAAATATTGTCGTTTTTGTGCTATGTTCATATTGAGAAGTGTACTTTTTAATTTTATTGTCGATTTTTTTTATCCAGTAAACAAAATCTATTAAAGAGCAAAAATTTCTGTAATTTATCCTCGTCGCGTTGTTTCAGAAACCCTCCAAAAGTATGGTTTTTGTATTTGGTATTTTATGGTCAAATTATGACTGGATTGGAATGCATCTTACTTTTTTTTTATTGCCCTATAGGCTAAGCCTACGGGAACCACGGAGTCCAGGAATAAATCTGTCGGAAACAAATAAGTTAGCATATAAGGCATTCTATTTCTATTTTCGTTCCGGCGTCCGTAAAAAAGCGGAAAATCCTTAGCTCATTAATATAGGATTTTACTTTATTTGAAAAATCCACTCATGTACATTATTTATTTCTAGTTCTGGGAAGTAATCTCGGACGAGCACGGCATTGACGCCACGGGTGCTTACAGCGGCGACTCCGACCTGCAGCTTGAACGCATCAATGTCTACTACAACGAAGCTTCAGGGGGCAAGTATGTCCCGCGAGCTGTGATGGTGGACCTTGAACCTGGGACCATGGACTCCGTCCGTTCCGGGCCGTTTGGGCAAATCTTCCGACCGGACAACTTCGTCTTCGGACAGTCTGGGGCGGGGAATAACTGGGCGAAAGGACATTACACAGAGGGGGCTGAGCTGGTTGATTCGGTGCTGGATGTAGTTAGAAAAGAAGCAGAAGGCTGTGATTGTCTGCAGGGTTTTCAGCTAACTCATTCTCTGGGAGGAGGTACTGGATCTGGTATGGGGACTCTTTTGATTTCCAAAATCCGTGAAGAGTATCCAGATCGTATTATGAACACGTTTTCCGTGGTACCAAGTCCAAAGGTTTCCGATACTGTAGTAGAACCATATAACGCAACACTATCAGTCCACCAATTGGTAGAAAACACTGATGAGACGTATTGTATAGACAATGAGGCGCTTTACGATATCTGCTTCAGAACTTTGAAGCTGACGACCCCAACGTACGGGGACTTGAACCATTTGGTTTCAGCGACAATGTCTGGTGTGACCACGTGTTTGCGATTCCCGGGACAACTGAACGCCGATTTGCGGAAACTAGCGGTTAACATGGTTCCGTTTCCGAGGTTACACTTCTTTATGCCGGGCTTTGCACCGTTGACCTCCCGTGGGAGCCAACAGTATCGAGCTCTATCTGTGCCGGAGCTGACGCAGCAAATGTTTGATGCCAAGAACATGATGGCTGCCTGTGACCCTCGCCATGGTAGATATCTGACCGTCGCTGCCGTTTTCCGCGGACGGATGTCTATGAAGGAAGTGGACGAACAGATGCTCAACATACAGAACAAAAATAGCAGCTACTTCGTGGAATGGATTCCCAATAACGTCAAGACGGCCGTGTGCGACATTCCACCTCGTGGACTCAAAATGTCTGCCACCTTCATCGGAAACACCACAGCTATCCAAGAGCTGTTTAAAAGAATTTCTGAACAATTTACAGCCATGTTCAGACGAAAAGCTTTCTTGCACTGGTACACGGGGGAGGGTATGGATGAAATGGAGTTCACGGAGGCTGAATCGAACATGAACGATTTGGTTTCAGAGTACCAGCAGTATCAAGACGCCACGGCTGATGATGAAGGGGAATTTGATGAAGAGGTAGAGGAAGAGTGAATGTTGTCCTGTTCAGTGTTTGTAACTTGTTGGTGTTTAGTGTTAGGCGTAATGTTTGTTAATTTGTTTAAACTTTTAATAAATGGGTGTTTAAATAATTTGCGTTTAGTTTGAGCTAACGTGGTCAGGTTAATAGCCGCTATGTCCATTGTCTACGAGAACGTGGGGAGGGTTGTCCTAAACTAGCGTGACGCCTTTACTGGTGACATGTATTGAGTCCGCGCTTGTAGATACCACCCCTGCGTATGGTGTCGTGAAACAATGCGTTTCGTTTTGAAGGGAGAAGCTGCCGTTGTACTTTGAAAAAATACTTGGAAATCGTCTCAAGGTGGGTGACGGTATTATAGTTGGATGTATATGGGCTCCAATGATCACTTAACACCAAGTAGGACCATTGAAATCACCAGGTCATTACAATAAACTAGATTAAAATATAATCTAAGGGTAGTTTCGATAGACTTCGTTTGATTACAATTCATTCTTTTGGGACTTAGGGAGTGTTCTCTCTTTGCTCAGCCTGACCAAAACCAATTATTAAGATTCATATTCAAAATTATTTTGGTTAGTCCAAGGGCCCTTATGTAGATACGGTACCCATGTCATAATTTTTTTACCCACCAATTTTTTTCTTTTATTAAGGAAGGGTTACTGGTGACCCGAAGGTCTTTTCAGTTTCACCAGGACAGGTGGGCGAGCAGAAGCTCGGCCAGGAGGGTATTTTACCAATGCATCGCATGGCATGCTGTTAATATATTGGAGTCACTAAACCACTGGTTTTGTTGCAATATTGAGACCTCATCCTAGTTCTGTCCCTGTCAATTAATCACTGCACTAACATAGTGAGCGCGCTAGTATAGTATGAACCAAAGAACCCATAGATTGAAACGTTTTAGTTTTTATCCAACACGGAATATTATATTTCGAATTTTGATTATTGTTCATCACTGTCGTCGTTTTGCTCTTCTACTGTTTCTTCGTCTTCGAACTCCTGGTCAATGGTCGCATCCTGATACTGCTGGTACTCCGATAACAGATCACTGACATTGTTATCAGCTTCAGCAAAATCTCCCTCCTCCATACCCTCGCCTGTGTACCAATGTAGGAAAGCTTTTCTACTAAACATCGCTGCAAACTGCTCCGAAATCCTCTTGAAAATTTCCTGGATCGCGGTTGTATTCCCAATGAATGTCGCGGACATTTTCATTCCTCTGGGCGGGATGTCACAAACCGCAGTCTGCACGTTATTTGGGATCCATTCGACGAAAAAGTCCTTATTCTTTTTCTGCACGTTAAGGATTTGCTCGTCTATTTCCTTCATTGACATTCTTCCCCGGAAGACGGTGGCTACAGTGAGATAGCGACCGCGGTGAGGGTCACAAGCCGCCATCATATTCTTTGCGTCGAACATTTGTTGTGTTAATTCTGGTACCGTGAGAGCGCGGTACTGCTGACTACCTCTTGACGTCAGCGGTGCAAAGCCGGGCATAAAGAAGTGCAGCCTCGGAAAGGGTATCATATTGACCGCTAACTTTCGTAGATCCGCGTTAAGTTGCCCTGGAAACCGCAGACACGTTGTCACGCCAGACATCGTTAAAGACACCAGATGGTTCAGATCCCCGTACGTAGGCGTCATGAGCTTCAACGTTCTGTGGCATATGTAATACAAAGCTTCGTTATCGATGCAGTAAGACTGGATTGAATTCTCTATTAATTGATTCACAGATAAAGTGGCATTGTATGGTTCAACGACTGTGTCTGAAACTGTTGGACTTGGAACCACTGAGTATGTGGCAGTAATTCGATCTGGGTATTCTTCGGTTAAGTTAGCGAGCAGCAAAGTGCCCATGCCTGATCCTGTACCTCCTCCAAGAGAATGGACTAATTGGAAGCCTTGCAAGCAATCGCAGCCTTCCGCTTCCTTCCTGACCACATCGAGGACTGTTTCAAGTAAATCTGCCCCTTCGGTGTAATGTCCTTTAGCCCAGTTATTGCCTGCGCCTGAGGCACCGCAGACTACGTTATCTGGACGGTAGATAGAGCCGTAGGGTCCGCCTCGGATTGAATCCATGGTACTGGGCTCGAGATCTACAAGAACAGCTCTAGGAACATATTTAGCTCCAAACGCTTCGTTGTAGTAGACATTGATCCGCTCGAGTTGCAAATCAGAGTCTCCTTGGTAGCGGCCACAGGGGTCGATTCCGTGCTCGTCAGATATCACTTCCCAAAACTGGAAAACAATTAACTATGATACTATATTTCATTACCAAGCAAATATCGTTAAGTATAAATATCGACTATAAATATATCGACGGATGAAACGATATTTTGTATAAGTGACATTTTTGCAACTTCACAGGGGAGCCATTTAAAGTTTAAACTTTGGAAAAAATATCATAACAAAAAGCTTTTTCAGCTATTTGAATGGAGTAAACATAATTGAAGTTCAATTAAGAACATAGATTTGTTGATGCTAATATCAAATCAAACGCACCCTTTAATTAGATAAATGTTGCGTATTGCGAAATGTCGCTTAAACCAAAAAGACTTTCACCCCTCGACATTGAATCTTCTATTATCTTATTAATCACTTCACTAATGCTTCTATTAATCATCTATTAAAGAATATCCTCATGCCAAGTTCAGGAAATATTGTAAAAAGTAGTTTGATGATGTTTTCATGATAAATTAGACATATTAATAGTCGTTAATAAAAGCAATCCGGACAATTAACTTCAATCAAACTATAGGTGCTTTTGTGACAATTAAAATAAGATTTTAATATTCTTCGTCAAAATATGTTCTGTAGAATAATGAAATTATTATTGGTCCAGCTAGACATGATTTCTCAGCGAAGTTAACCTACTGATGTTCTTGCTGGAGTTCTTGCTGGATGTTTTCAGTGAGTCGTAAGTCCGATCCGGTAGTAAATTCTGCGAGGATCTGCTCTTGCTAGGGATAGCAAATCCTCTCAGGTTGAACCCGTGAGCTCACTTAACCGTCCTTAGGCTACCATAGAATAGGTAGGGAAAAAATCTCAGCGACATTAGCGCTGAACGATACAGTTCGTAACCTATGATAGTTCTTTTTATATTGCATAGATGGGTGGACGAGCTCACAGCCCGCCTGGTGTTAAGTGGTTACTAGAGCCCATAGACATCTACAACGTAAATGCTCCACCCACCTTGAGATATAAGTTCTAAGGTCTCAGTATAGTTACAACGGCTGCCCCACCCTTTAAAACGAAACCCATTACTGGTTCACGGCCGATATAGGCAGGGTGGTGGTACCTACCCGGGCGGACTCACAAGCGGTCCTACCGCCACACAGTGGGTCGATACTGTGATTTTAGTGACTTAGGGACCAACTTTGTTTTTTTATAATTTTTTTTATGTAGATAGATAGAGCTCGTTAATCTCAATAATAATTGTTTTGGGCAAAAATTACAAAAACTTTATAGTTTGGTCAGAAAAATGTGTTTTGTGATTTTTTTGTATGGAGCGGGTCACATTAAATTAAATTCCTGCNTAGTAGACTAGACAAGGTATAAGGAAAATAAAGTTTCAAAGCGGGACCTCGCGGTACTTAGCAGGAATTTAATTTAATGTGACCCGCTCCATACAAAAAAATCACAAAACACATTTTTCTGACCAAACTATAAAGTTTTTGTAATTTTTGGCCAAAACAATTATTATTGAGATTAACGAGCTCTATCTATCTACATAAAAAAAAAAATAAAAAAACAAAGTTGGTCCCTAAGTCACTAAAATCATAGAATCGACCCACTGTGCGCCAGTAAGAAGTTATTCCTATAACAACCAAGATCCAGATTCAGTTCTAAATTTATATATTTATGATGTTTATATCTATGAACGTTTCCGCGGTGACCATAACACATGAGAAAATACTTGCCTGGAGCAGTTTTATGTGAAGAAAAAAAAAAACTGCAATCTCATGTCTGAAGGTAGGTTACGTTATTCATGTTATAATAAACTATGTTTATACGGTCCAAGTCGAGCACGGGGTTGAATTGTCAAAAATGTATGATATTCTATAATGGTTTTTTTTACCTTCGAGCCAATCTGGTTCCCACATCTCCCGACCTGTACGTGAACTATTTCTCTCATTCTCGTGTATTAATAACAAAGAATTTATCGAAAATAATTGTGGAAGAACCAAATTTTAAAATAAAACAAAAATACAAAAAAACACAAAAATAAAACGTCTACATGTGCTTAAAGCTAAAATGTAAATAATAATAGTCTACATTTTGTTTCGCGACCCTATCGATTTTGTCTCTATGGCTATGGATTTTTAGTTGTAGATTTAATGTCTTTATGTTGTTCGTTGCGTAAATTAAAAAAAAGGGTTACCAGCTTTGATAGTCGTGAGCAGTTATCACATTCCAGGCAACACTGGATTTTACAAACAAAAAAATGGCGTCCGGTCTTGTGCGCGTTTTATGTCTAATTTGTTTTCCCTGCCTATTTGCTGGTAGCCTAACAGACCATTCTAGCTTTGCGTGAACGGGTATGTGAGCTCACGGGCTCTACCTGAGAGAATTTGCTAACACTAGCCCCAGCAAGAGCAGCCTGGTAACCTGTGCCAACTTAATTTAAAAACATAATATTATCACCGTGCTTCGATATTAACTTAATAGTCTATGTAGTCATAAAATCATATTAATTTTGAATAAAACCACACAATTTTTATTCACCTTTATTTACACGTATCAAAATAAATTACAACATGCATCCATAATTACAAAAATAATGTAGGTGGATGTTAGGATTTATAAATATTTATTTTAATATTTCCATTGCGATCAGTTAAAATGAAAAAAAAATTCAGAATCTCAAGTGACATCTGACATTTAAATACATCACTTACCAGTGTTGCTGGTTTCACTTTTGATGTTGCCACTGCTGAAAAACGTTCGATCGATCGATGAAATGCTATTTGTTTTAAGCGACATTTATCTTTGTAATTAAAGGTGCCTTTTATTTGGTATCAGCATCAACAGCTCGATGTCTTTAATTGAACTTCAATTAAGTTTACTTCATTCAAATAGCTGAAAAAGTTCTTTTGTTATGATATTTTAATCTTTAAACATATCTCCTGTAATATTTCAAAAAATGTCGTTTAAACCCAATAGCATGTCACCCCTCGATATTATGATTTAACTTAATTGATTTGGGACAATATAGTGAGTCTATATTACGGTACACTAATAAAAAGAGGAAATACATTTATATAGTGGAGCATATTTTCCCTAAACGATCCCAACTGAATAAACAGAAAGAATCAATACTTGTATTGGAACATCAGTGCGCTTAGTGAGAGTTTTTTAACGTCTCGATAGCGTAAAAGTTAGCTCATATTCGTATGGAATGGGATCGTTTGCCTATGTTTGCCGCTAGGGGCGCTGTTTCAACTGCTTACAAAGTAGGGGTTAACTTTTACGCTATCAATAACTTTAAAAAACTCGCATTAAGCACATAGGTTTATAAAATTAGTAGCGATGCGACCGTGGCAGAGGTTATGAATTATTAATAACGCACGTATTTTCAACAATACATACCGTATTCCTGTACGGAGAAATAAGAAACTATTCAAATTCTACAAATAAAATTATGAATAATTTCATCAACTAAATACATTCAACCACATATTTTCATTACATTGGTTTTTTTCTGGTTACGCTTTCATATATTAATATCGTTGCGTATTTAAAAATGATTTGATTGTTCGACGAGCGAACTAACCCATTGCATTACGGTGCCAATACACTATGATAGAAAATAACAAAACCAATTAACAGTATATGTATATTAATATTTTTTTAATTTACTAGCTTTGACTAGTTTCGAATTAACATTATTAAATGCATCGAGCAGTTTGCATAATGCAGTTATAATTGCATTTAAACATTTGACAAAAAGAAAAAAAAAAGTTGTTTTGGTATTACAGTGCATCTTTGGCGTACTCATCCAAGAGCTAAGATAGACGGACGAGCTCACAGCCCACCAGGTGTTAAGTGGTTACCGGAGCGCATAGACATCTATGACGTATTTCGATATTATCCTGAAAAGCACCACACGCTTTTTGTGTATTTTTTTTAGTTTTTTTAAACTATTATATTATTTATTTCAACGTATTGTGCTATCCATGAACTCAGATGACCACTTGCAACCAAGTGGACTGTTAATTTCCCCGGCCATCTTCACTGGAAACCTATGATATGTACACATGAGCCCGCCCGGGTAGGTACAACCAACCTACATATGTTCCACTGCATCTACGCATCTTAGTTTGCAGGACGCCGCAGCGGATCTAATTGCACCCGGGATTTCATATTAATTTTGTTCGCTTTACATTGCGGATACGTTTTTTTTAAAGAGATTTTATGACTTGGTAACTAAGACCTTTAGGTCAAGTCTTATTTTAATTTTTAATCTTATTTTTATGAAAAATTATAATATGGAGTGAAATTAAATGAAATGAGATGAGATGATATGGGATGAAATATAGTCTGAGTAAAATGGTGGTCATTTACTGAGATTTTTTCCGTGGACTTTTCGGAGGAACCCGAGAAGTTACGTCCAGCGGCTTTGTTTCATTTTCCCACATTTTTGCACTTTCACAGATAGTAAACAATTAATAAATCACCGTTATTACACATTTAAACCTGAAGAAACACTAAACAGACAAAATAAAACAAATCACACAACTTCACTCCTCGCGTTCCCGCCAAAAAGTCGCGGATACGTTAAAGACCTTTCAACAACATACAGAGTACAAAATTTTAAGGTCAACAGCCTCTCGTTCAGGGTCACGAGTCTGTCGCTTCACGGCGGCGACGCGGCGTCGGCTAAAGCTAAAGACGCACTAACGGCGGTAGGACCACTTGTGAGTCCGCACGGGTAGGTACCACCACCCTGCCTATTTCTGCCGTGTAGAAATAATGCGTTTCGGGTGAATGAAGGGTGGGGCAGCCGTTGTGACTATACTGAGACCTTAGAACTATTTCTCAAGGTGTGTGGCGCATTTACGTTGTAGATGTATATGGGCTTCAGTAGCCACTTAACACCAGGTGGGCTGTGAGCTCGTCCACACATCTCAGCAAGAAAAATAAATAAAAAATACGTACTCAACTGTATTCACGAACATATCTCTGACACCCTAGGAGCTGATGCACAGAACATTATATTACATATAAAATGCTAATCTACAGATCACACATACATATGCTAAAAGATCTAATTACAAATACTAAGTTCTTTACGCAACATTTAACAGTCACGTGAAAAGCACCAATCCTTAAATACATTCACACAAAGTTTCTTAACCAGCTAGTTTTATTGAAATCAGCGCCATCTATTGGCGTGCAGGAACTTTTAGTTAGAGTTTTCTAATCAAATCTATTTAAACTTCTCCTATGGTTAAATCTTATACACCATTTCATTGATTAAGGTCTTTTAATTTTACTTTTTAGTCATATTTTTTGTAATATAGCGGCCAGTACGTAATTTCTACTGGTCTTGATTTTATCGATAATTTTTATCGATCTCATCGTACAGCAACACGTAAAATGTATTTATGTTAAAAAAGTGTGTACTTACATCACAACAATTATAAAAAGATGTTAATGTAAAAATATCAAAATACGCGTGTTAAACTTCTAAAAGCACAATTATACAACAACGACACACACAGTTCATATCGTTCACGATTCACACGCGCTTGTACGCCACGAGAGTTCCGTAATTCTTGAACTTGTACACTTTAGGATGAAAATTCTTCAGGGCCCACCCTTTATAATCGGCCGGGCTGTGCGCCAGCCCGAACACCACGAGCTTGTCGCGTCTCTGACCGCCCCACGCGCGCGCCCTGCCCTATAAGGATTTATTCTTCAGCAAGTACATGTTCCCGTACACGCAACTCTTCGACGTCAAAAACGGAATATAGAACGCTCTCAGTATTCTGTTTGATCGTTCCGCGTTTAGTATTGAAGCGGTGGCCACGACTTCCCAGTTGGGGTCCTTGTGGTAAGCCGGCTGGAGCTTCGAAGGCTTGCTCAAGTCCGAATCGACCAGGTAGTGGCACTCCTTGGGTTTGTAGTACGTGCTGTTGTCTCCTTTGTTCTGGTCGTTGAGGTACGGGTGAATGAGGCGTGATGCTGTGAAACAAATTATTCATTCAGTGTGCTTAGTGTGGGTTTTTTAACGTTCTCGATAGCGTAAAAGTTAACTAAAATTTGTATGCTGATGGAACAGCGCCCCTAGCGTCAAACGTAGGCAAACGTTCCAAATCCATACAAATTTGATTGAACTTTTAAGCGAACGAGAACGTTAAAAAACTCGCACTAAGCGCAATGAACATATTTATAACAATTGCACTAGGTGGATCACTGCCCATCTCATATAACCGAAAGGAGTCTGTAGACGCTACAACGTAAATACAGCTCAACCCATCTTGAGAAAATAGATTTGCTTTGTGGCAGAAATAAGCAAGACAGTGGTACCAACCCATGTGGGTTCTGACATAATTAATTAAACTATTTACATTGAATGGCCTCAAGTTAGGATATCCTTCTGTGATTGAGTGCCAGAAGCAAACATCAACGTCCAACCCAATATAAATTTTAACAAAGATACTGAATCCAAACTGCAAGTGGTACATCTGTTGGAGTCACCGACTATTAACATCAAGACTATGACTATAACTATTACAACTAAATGTAACTTGTCCAATAACTAATCCAGTTGAGCTTGTTAGGGGTGTGTATAAATCAATTTCAGTCAACAGAAGTGCAAGGCATTTAATGACAGTACACATTTATCATTTTCCTGCCCGATACAAATTTTCATTTGTGAAAACACTTTTCACTTACCATTCTGTGTGTCAGCATACGGAGCCGGCATTTGACCATTGAACTCGCTCTGTATAATCCTCATTTTGTATCCCAATGGCAAGTGAAAACTGGATGGTGAACGATACCACTCTTTACCGTAGCACACTACTTTTTCAGTTTCCGTTGCAGGTAAATTGTGTAGAATCGTCAGTGATCCTTGGTAGTTTGTGTACAACGCCGTTATACGTGACAACCCTAGGGATGTGAAAAATTATAATTTTTTAATAGGGACGCGATAGTAATAAACCTTTAATAAAATCGATAAGTCAATTAAGAAACAAAACGAAATTATGACACAATTTCTAGCCCAAACGATTTTAATTATTAAAAGAGAGTCTATGATTTAAAAACACAATGCTTAAAAATGCCAGGATTACAAAATATTTACAGTTCTAAGGCACAGGGGTCTTTATTTAAATACATTTTCGGCAACAGCCTTTGTGACTGACGGCACTACATTCTAGTAACTCTGTCCGTATGCAACTGTCTAATTCGCTAAAAAAACTAGGTACTGTAACCCCCTTATAACACAGTTCTCTTATAACGCATTTTCATATTACGTGATTTCAGTCCTTCGTGTAACACGAGTATTCCCCATATAACGCGGGGATTTCGCGTTATATATATTTCTGTACGGTGAAGTTTATAATGATTTGAACGCTTCATAGTTAATTTCGTGTACGTAGGCACATTGTGTCATTTGTGTTGTTCAAAATTAAATTAAATTAATTTATAAAATTTTTGTTCCTAGTCTTTTAATTGTAAAAACATTGGTTGTATTGTACAAATGTATTACATATATGTTATATTTGTACATAACGCGTTATATGGGGTCATACGAGCGCGTTATGCGAGAATTCACCTACAACGCGGAACCAATCTACCGTCGTGTTATAGGGGGGATTACTGTACTCAACTCACCAGCCAGTCCAGCCACGCCAACGAACACCACCATGATGGTCCCGGTGTAGGAGAGGTAGTGTCTCTTCTCCCGTTCTCTGCGCCAACGGAACAGTTCGGTTCCAACTGCGAAGCTCATTTTCTGAACACAGTCCAGGCCTATGGCGCCAGCTAGGATTATCAAGCTGTATACCGGGTAGATGAATCTGAAAATTACATTACAAATTTGGTATTCGACGTCGTCGTGGCTTAAAGGATAAGACGTCCGGTGCAAACGTATCTAGCGATGCACCGGTGTTCGAATCCCGCAGGCGGGTACCAACTTTTTTAATGAAATACGTACTCAACAAATGTTCATGATAGACTTTCACAGTGAAGGAATAACATCGTGTAATAAAAATCAAACCCGCAAAATTATAATTTGCGTAACTACTGGTGGTAGGACCACTTGTGAGTCCGCACGGATAGGTACCTGCCTATTTTTGCCGTGAAGCAGTATTCCGTTTCGGTTTGAGAGGTAGGGCAGCCGTTGTACTGTTAAAAGTGAGACCTTTCAACTCATGTCTCAAGGTGGGTGGCGGCATTTCCATTGTAGATGTCTATGAGCTCCGCTAACCACTTAAGATCAGGTGGGCCGTGAGCTCGTCCACCCATCCAAGCAATAAAAAAAAGTCTGAAATAGGCAGGTGGTTGAACCTATCACTCTGGACGTACCTCACCACGAGGATCTCTCACTATGGTTCTAATATACATAATAATAATAATAATGTCCCAATATACATAAAGTCGATGTGGACTCACCGTTCTTCCTTATGGGGTTGCAGCATAAATATAACTAGCCACAGTCCTAAGGGCATCAAGTCCAACCAGTATGGAGTACAAAACGATGCTCTTGATGTAGACTTGGACGAGAGAACTGTGCAAGCTAACAGGAGAATTGGACTAGATAAGGCTAACACCTGGAATTATATTAGAGAAATCTAATATACCAAAATATAGTCACCTGTGGCATATGAGTGAAGGTTTTTGTCATAGTACTATGTAAATGGAATATGTGAAGTGTGAGTAACTCAACAAACTGTTTAACACATTTTATGTTAGTTATAATGGAGCTTTGCATTGTTTTACTACTTTATAATAAAAAAAAAGCATAAACACAACCGCTCACCCAAACAATATTAAAATTCAAGAAACCATTAACAATATAATAAGTCCAGGGTTCAACCCCATAGAGATCCGGCCCGTGCTCTGTGAATATATTGTAGGCTACAATGTTCCATGGTGCTATGACTAGCCGTCCGTAATACCAAGCGTCCACCAGTACAGTTGGTACGAGAATGATGATAAGTGAGAGGAAAGACCATGTGAAAAATTCTTTGAATTTCCGTTTTAGTACTAGCATATCTATCGCTATCGGTATTCCAAGGAGTGCAGTGAATGGCCAGCCTGTGAACAAAAGACGTTTAGAATACAATTATGGAGAAAAAAAAAGAGAAGAGAGTCTGCTAGTCTACTTAGTCAGTGGAGAAATGGTTTGAATGTAGTGGTTTTGGACTTGTTTATAGTTAATTGTGTAAATTTCACATACATAACTCTTTCTGGATTTCTTTAATTCTATGATAGCTAAGTAGTAAACTTTTAAATTAAACTTCCTGAAACACAGCCTTCTGTGTATTTCTACCGCAAAGCCATAATGCATTCCAACTTTAATGTAGGAATAGTATATACAATAGTTAGACTGTGTATATACAATATGACATTAAGTTTTCCAAGTTTATAGCCCAAGATGATAGTATTATTAAAATATAAAAGATTATTTAGTTGTATGCCCATATTCAGAAACAAAAAGCTTTAAATAAATTATGCCTATAACAATCTCCTTTTCTATTTATTTTCATAGCTTACTGAGCAGTGATGTGACGGCAGTCAGGAACACTGCAGATTGGTATCGTTTCCTCCACCAGCATGCAAGTGCTCCACTCACTATGGCATTGCTCCATGCAGAAGGCAGCATCGCAGTACTGGAAGAAAATAATCCAGCCGCCGGTAACGTCATAGCCAGCCATAGTCTGCCAACATGTACCCCAAATTCGTGGCACACAGCCCTGAAAAGAATTAAATTGTGTATTTATCATTTTCGGGTAAATGTATATGACGTACTGTAAAGTATAATACCCCACTACTTATATGAGTCTTCTTCGTTTATTTCATTAGACTGAATGTCAATGAATGATAAAACCTGATTATTTGATGGTGCAGCAAAATGTCTTTCTTCAGGCAATATATTCTGTTTTTGAGCAAATGTAACAACTTGCCATCATAGTTATATATAAGTAACAAGCAAAAATATTTTAGTAGCTATAAATTAGATTTTAATTTACAAATGGAAGAATTTGTGTTGAGTCGTATACCCCAGCAGAGGGTAAAAAAAGGAAAGAAAGAAAAGAGGATAATTTACAATAACATGACTGGTGAGGGGCTACTTTCACCTTCACCTCTATGAAAAAACATGTTAGCATTATTTTTGCAGCAATTTGGTTCATGGCCTTATCTGGTATATGGTCTTATCGCATTAAAAGTGTACAATTTCCAAAAATATTCGAAATTGAGTTAATATACGGAATCATTTGGTATCACCAGTATTTTTCTCATAAATACTGTGAAAAGAGCGTAGTTTCGTTTTTTTCTTAGTTTACTTATATTTTGACTACCATTAACAAAATTAATCCATAATTTTATTTTACTTTAAAAGACAGATAATATAACTGGTAAAAAATAAATGTTGTAAAGATGATTAATATTAAAAATATCACATATTAAACCTTTAAAACATTCTCCTGTAAAATTTATAGAAGACGACATGTTTACTAAAAAGTTGAATCTGTTGTGTATTTGCGTATTATGATCCTCCATAGCAGAATATGATTTGAACAAAGGTTTCAACAAAGGTTTCGGTAGGCAGCGGCTTTCTGGTAGGCAGCGGGCTTGGCTCTGCCCCTGGCTTTGCTGAAGTCCATGGGCGACGGTAACCACTCACCATCAGGTGGGCCGTATGCTCGTCTGCCGTGTGCAACGGCCATAAAAAAAAAAATGTGTGCGTGTACTAGTGTACACACGTAAGAAGTGAAACTTATTTATGGCCTTATTTTTCGAAAAATGATCTACATGCAACTTTCTAGAAATTGGTTAAATAAAGTTAAATTAGATAAAGTTTAAACAAAAGGATTTTATTATCATAGACATGAATACAAAAAAGTTAAATTAGATAAAGTTTAAACAAAAGGATTTTATTATCATAGACATGAATACAAAAAAGTTAAATTAGATAAAGTTTAAACAAAAGGATTTTATTATCATAGACATGAATACAAAACAGATGGCGCGTAACGGAAAAATGTGACGCGTAACCGAAAAATGTGACGGTAAATTTTTTTCCAACGCCGATAAGGAAGTTTCACTTCAAAAAAAAAAAGACATCACACTTACTTGTAAAACATGAATTCAGTTGCAGCTGTATGAACAGCAAGGCCTATCCTCAACACATAGAAGATGGACACTGGATTTAGTATGTAGGACAGTATTCTCGCTGGCACAGCAAACAAAAACAGTGGCATGTAAGACCTGATTGCATAAACGGGACTGTATTCCCATGTCTGTAGTCCATGACCATACACTGTGGAATATTTTTTTATTTATTACAGGATCTCTCTAGTTTTGATTAAAATGTCAAATTATAAAACTATATAAACAACAGCACGTCAGAAGCTTTCGCAGCTTATCGTCACATTTATTTTAATCAATGTATGCCTTATTGTTGGTTATGTTGTCACAATCAGAAATAATTAGATAAAAATACATAGAGTTATTTGATAGCTGCCACTGATTTCTCCCTGCCGTCCTCCCTAATTCGCTATCAATGCAATAATGAAATGTTAATTTTTATTTTATTAAAGACAATATGATCTTTCCTGTTACCTGTTCCCTGTTACCGCTACTAAAAGATACCAGTACCAGGAACTGAGCCAGACTTTACCTAACATAAATTATTCAATCATAGTAATTCTTTCAAGCAAATTAAGACTGGCATCACACATTAAAGAGACATTAATGGTCACGTTTTTTGGCTCCAATAAATCAAAACTATATTAATTTATAGAAATGAACATACCCAAATAATGCAAAGGTTCCCAATAGTTATATGTCTCATCGCAATCAGAAATATGGTTCCAGATCGCAGATATGATTCTGGCAGTCAGTAATAAACTTAAAGCTGCAGCTCCACCGGGGTATGAGATACTACGGAGATCAGTTGGGGCATTTGTGACAATGTAATCTCTGAAATCATGTAATATAATGAAACCTTTAAATTTGAGAATACATTTTTTCATGAAACATAATTGTTCAGGGACATAAAGTGAACAGCCATTGGAAATTGAGAAATTAAGTTCTTGACAAAAAAATAAAATAAAATTTTATCATAAATCTACACCAAGTTTGGCACCCAACTTGGTGTAGATTTATCTTTATTATATTACAAAAATTTAAATTCTAAAGTGCTCCATGTTAAAATATGATGATGCTCTGAGGAAATAAATTAATGGTTACAGTAGTTACCTATATACATTGATACTTCAGACACATTTTAAGTTAAGAACAACAGTAAGACTTCTAGAAGTTACTGATGAATAACTACTGATGAGGTCGGATATGTCATACCAATTTAGACAAATTTGAATTCGTTAGTAAATTAATTTTGGCATTTTATAATTTCATAAGGAATCGGAGATGTAGTTTTATTTCACGGAAAACAAACAAAATTACAAAATTTAAAATTTTTTATATTCTGTTAAAAAACAAACGATTTAATATTATTCCATGACTAACTAACGTTAAGAAATGGTCTTTACCTTTGTGCGTAAGCTGGATTCAAGCCAAAATGCGACCGAAGAAAATATTTGTTTGAAGAGCAAGCAAAAATTATAACCTTTAAAAAAGTGAAGGCTGCGCTATTAGTTTAAAATAATAATTTTTTAACCCTTGGCGTTAATAGCTGTATTTAATTTGCACTTCTTACCCTTCGCTAGGTCTCCGTTTTCCTTTGTTGAAACTGGCTGCTCTTTTAGCACCGTTTTTATTATGAATACTTCTTTGTCGTACGGTCAGCGGCATTGCGGGTTTATTTATTAGTGCATTTGCGAAGTTGAAAAAATTCTACTTTGTTTCATCAAAATAAAAATACTAAAAACTTCGTAGAAAAACACCCCAATTTTCCAATTTTCCATTGAATATAGGGATGAGGCGATTTGTATTTTCGGATCTGATTTGATTGAACAGAAAAGCTCCACTCCTAATCGATTTACTGAATCAATAAATCGATTAGTAGTCGCCGCAGTCAATCTCAAACAGTGAAGAGTAGAGATTAATATACTGTTTCAATGAGTTCTACACAACATTAAAGTAATTTTGAAGTAACTGATTTTTAGGAAAATTCAGTATTTCCTCCTCAATTAAAAAACTACTTCACTTATCTCAGTTGAGAAAAAAAATAGTGTGTTTTTTTTTGGCAAAAAAGTTAAATTGCGTCATTCGGCTCGCGGGTTTGACTTGTGATTAATATCTGCTTATTTTTTTATTTCACTTCTCTTTAGGTATTTTTATTTTTTATTGCCCTTGTAGACAGACGAACATACAGCCCACCTGATGGTGAGTGGTTACCGTCGCCCATGGACTTCAGCAATGCCAGGGGCAGAGCTAAGCCGCTGCCTACCGCAAATTAATATTATCTAAAGTTCAACATTTTCGAGAAGAATGTTTACTAAAACGATCAAAGACAAAACGACAAAAGATAAATCGAACTTTCCAGCGTCGTTTACTGGTGAATCGATTGACATCGCTCTATGGAAATGCAGAATCGATATTCTGAATAGATCAGGATTTTTTGCTACAGAATAATAAGATGTAGTAAAGACTGGTTAATTAATCTCCATAAAAATGAAAGCTTCATTAATTTATAAGTTACTAGTTGACCCGGCAAACGTAGTTTTGCCATATACGTTATTTCTAGGAAACATTTTTTTAGTTCAATAAAAATAACTACATATCTTCTATAAGTGTGCGGGGACATATTGATAATCGAAAGCGTTATAAGAATAAAAGTGTGTTTTATTTAGGTATTAACCTATATAACGAATATAATGATAGATAATGATTATTTAAAATAATATTATTATTTTAAATTATAATCTTTGATAGCTATCTAAACATCAAAAATAATTATTCATATTTTTACTATCAATTACGGCAGTTGAAAAAAAATTAATCTTTGCACTGGAAATTAATGATAATTTTACGATGACAGTAAAATTAACATGAGAGTTGCACAGAAAAATTAAAATAATAAGTATAACAGTCACTGCTACGATTGATCATCATCATCATCATCATCAGCCTATAGCAGTCCACTGCTGGATATAGACCTCTCCAATTGTTCGCCACTGAGCACGATCCTCAGCTTCTCTCATCCAGTTCCTGCCAGCCACCCTGCACAGATCATCACTCCACCGAGCCTTATTGATACACAAATAAAACCAAAAAAACACAGCTGAAAATGTATAGTGAGTATGACAGGAGACCGGCTTCATCCTCATCCCTACTACGTGATGTTGGCTGGATGAGTGGTGACACCTAGCGGGGATAACTGATCGATTGATAGTTGACATGGAGTTGATGGCTCTGTAAATTTGGCCCCCCTTTTTTTGATTTTCGGATTTTTTAATTTTTTATTATTTGTTCGTTAATGTTCGAATGTAAAAATTGTTTGTTCGTCTTTTGTTTATTTATAATTAATTAAATAAATGATCGCCGTTAAGTGGGCCCCTTTTACTAGATATCTTTATTTTTATCGCTCCGATTAATTTATTTTGATCAATTATCGTTTGTTCGACGACTATTGGTGATTGTTCGATCATAAAAACAATTAAATTCCCAATTATTAATTATTTTATATTAATGTAATACCGAAATACTTCACGAGATGGCGTTACAAAAAATCCCTTCCTAAAACTATAAAACCGTTGTGATTGTCTACTGAATAAATAATATTTATTCGTATAATAAATAATATAATAAATAATATTTATTCGTAGGTGATTGTTTAAGATGTTATGAATATTTCAGTTTTGATTTCATCAAAATAACTTGAACTTTACTACTGAATTCCGAAAAAAATTCTAATTAAGGCTGAGTTAAGTTCAGCTTTTTAATTAAGCCTCTTACTGTAGTTTTTAAATTACATTTATGTGGATTGATGTTTCAAAGCTTTCAGATTTCAATTTTAAAATCTGAAATCATTAAGAACAGCGTCGTCTACCGTTCACATTTGAAACAGAATTTAATTCGGTTTAAATTTGTAAAAGTTGATGTTGATTATTATTACACTAATTAATTGAGCGTTTCATTAGCTTTTAAGCTGAGTGACTATTTATAATATATTTTTATTCTATTGTCTATTTTTGTTAAGTAATAAATGAGCAAAAAATAATACTTAACAAAAAGATATGAAATCCGAACAAAAACAGTTTCACTGTAAAAAATTGCGCCAAGTCCACGTTTATAAAACTCATCTCAATAACATTTGCACTTTACAAAAAAAATAAGACTTCAATAACTTTCATTTTCTACAAAAAGATGTGAAATACAAAAAAATACCAAGAAACCATCATAATGTTGAAAAAATTTCTTTCATATGAAATCTTTTTTATGAAATATGACATTATGAAACGAAATGAAGCTAATTACTTTAATATGAAATATGGCATGGCATGGCATGGCATGGCATGAAATGAAATGAATTGAAATGAGATAAGATGATGTGATATGGGATATTTTAATGAAAAATGATAATATGGAGTGAAATTAAATGAAGAATTTGAGACATTAATCAACTGGGATGAAATTAGATGAAATGATATGAGATGAAATATAATCTCAGTAAAATGGTGGTCGTCTACTGAGATTTTTTCAGTGGACTTTTTGGAGGATCCCGAGAAGTTACGTCCAATGGCTTTGTTTTTTTTTTTATTGCCCTTGTAGGCAGACGAGCATACGGCCCACCTGATGGTGAGTGGTTACCGTCGCCCATGGACTTCAGCAATGCCAGGGGCAGAGCCAAGCCGCTGCCTACCGTTTAATACTCTCCACAAGCCTCGTTTGAAGAAGGACATGTCATAGCGCTCGGGAAACACCGTGGAGGGGAGCTCATTCCATAGCCGGATGGTACGTGGCAAAAAAGACCTCTGGAAACGCACTGTGGATGACCGCAGTGGCTCCAGGTAGTATGGATGAACTCTACTCCGGTGGCGGGCGGTGCGATGGTAAAAACGAGATGCCGGTATCATCTCGAACAATTCCTCAGAGCACTCCCCATGGAACATACGGTACAAAATACAGAGGGAACCGAAGTCCCTCCGCAGACCCAGANTAATTTGATGTTAATTGAATATATGTGTGTGTATTTATATATATATATATATAGTTCTGTCTCAATTTCTCATAAAACGCTAACAAGAGCGAAAAAGACAACCTGGGTAACTTTTTACAGCTTTCACTGTATGTTAAAGCAAAATGGTTTTTTTCTCGGGTTGAAATTCTTCCGAAAAAATTTGGGGTACTCAATGACGCGCGCCAAATACGATAAATAATTTTTTTTTGGAACGAAGTTCCTTACGGCAGACTTGGAGGGGATAGGGATTTTGCTGCGCGACCGAACTGAAAAAAATGTGATAGTAAAACCGTAAGAAAAAATCCGTGGAAAAAAGTGCGTGGAATAAATCCGTTAAATGAGACGTGCGCAGGCGCGACAGTCGCATACACAAGCGAGTAGTGTATAATACCTTTCTCTTTCTTTCTTTTCGTTTTCTAATCCCTTCTCTCTCTATTTAGTAATTATTTCTATTTCTATGTAATTTTATGTTGTCAACCAAAAATAAAGAGATTTTGTTATTTTAATTGATAATTTGAATTACTATTTTTTTTATTTTACGTAATTTATTATTTCCTAAAATACTGAATTTCCTAAATAATTTCCCGTACTTAAATAAAAACTAATCAGCAAAATTTAAGAGAAAAACCAAGAAAACCTACATAAAATTGAGCACCATTTCTTTTTTTGCAATTTGTGTCGATACTACATTAGCCGAAGAAACTTCGTTCCTACCTGGTATCCCACGACACCACATAGGTAATTAATTTTTAAAATTTTGAAATTTTCAAATATTTTTTTTTTATTTTTTTAAGATTATGACGGTTTCTTGGTATTTTTTTGTATTTAACATCTTTTTGTAGAGAATGAAAGTTATTGAAGTCTTATTTTTTTTGTAAAGTGCAAATGTTATTGAGATGAGTTTTATAAACGTGGACTTGGCGCAATTTTTTACAGTAAAACTGTTTTTGTTCGGATTTCATATCTTTTTGTTAAGTATTATTTTTTGCTCATTTATTACTTAACAAAAATAGACAATAGAATAAAAATATATTATAAATAGTCACTCAGCTTAAAAGCTAATGAAACGCTCAATTAATTAGTGTAATAATAATCAACATCAACTTTTACAAATTTAAACCGAATTAAATTCTGTTTCAAATGTGAACGGTAGACGACGCTGTTCTTAATGATTTCAGATTTTAAAATTGAAATCTGTAACCTTTGAAACATCAATCCGCATAAATGTAATTTAAAAACTACAGTAAGAGGCTTAAATAAAAAGCTGAACTTAACTCAGCCTTAATTAGAATTTTTTTCGGAATTCAGTAGTAAAGTTCAAGTTATTTTGATGAAATCAAAACTGAAATATTCATAACATCTTAAACAATGACCTACGAATAAATATTATTTATTATACGAATAAATATTATTTATTCAGTATAGCAACGGTTTTATAGTTTTGGGAAGGGATTTTTTGTAACGCCATCTCGTGAAGTATTTCGGTATTACATTAATATAAAATAATTAATAATTGGGAATTTAATTGTTTTTATGATCGAACAATCACCAATAGTCGTCGAACAAACGATAATTGATCAAAATGAATTAATCTGATAAAAATAAAGATATCTAGTAAAGGGGGCCCACTTAACGGTGATCATTTATTTAATTAATTATAAATAAACAAAAGACGAACAAACAATTTTTACATTCGAGCATTACCGAACAAACGACGAACAAATAATTAAAAATAAAAAAAATCCGAAAATAAAAAAAGGGGGGCCAAATTTACAGAGCCGGAGTTGATAGATGATGATAGTTGATCAGTAGTCGACCGGCGCATAGATTATACACTTAATGACTGGCGAGAGCGGGAGATCAACTTGAATTTTAAAAATATATATAATTAAAGGAACTTGAAATTATAAACTTGAATAAGATTTTATCGTACTACAATTATATTTGATTGCCATGCAACCTTATTGCGGATCTGTGCACAGAATAAAAAAAAGAAAAATCGGGATTGAAAAATAGGGGTTGATCATAGATTATACACTTAATATATACGAGGGGTTGATCGTATAAGAGTGAAAATTGAGAGTAATATGAAATTTTTTATTTTAAGTCACGACAAAATAAAAATAGAATCATACCAAAAAAATTAAAGTTTATAATTAAGAAATAAAAAATAGGGGTTGATCATAGAGCGATGAGAATTTGAAAGTAACGTCAGATTTTTTATTTTAATTCATGACAAAATAAAAATAAAAATGAAAATCTTGCAAAAAAAATTAAAGTTTTTAATTAACAAATAAAAAATAAGGGTTGATCGTAGAGGGGTGAAAATTTAGGAATGTATGTATTTTTGTATGCTGTATCATAAAAAATAAAAATAAAAAAAATTGTCAAAAAGAAAAATTAGGCTTGGACCACCCTTAACATTTAGGGGGATGAAAAATAGATGTTGTCCGATTCTCCACCCTGGCCGATATGCACGCTAAGATTCACGAAAATCGGTCGTGCCGTTTCGGAGGAGTTCAATCACGCACACCGTGACACGAGAAATTTATATATTAGATAATTGATTAATTAAGAAGACTACCTAGATTGTCACTTCGATAGATCGCATTAAAAATAATTGGCAATATTACTGGCTTAAGCCAAGGATCGTGCTCAGTGACGAGCAATTGGAGAGGCTCATGTCCAGCAGTGGACATTTGGAAATTTACAAAAAAGGAGAGATTAAATCGTAACAGTAGTTTTAATTATCTCTATGAGTCGAGAAAGCTGAAGAGAAGACTAAGTAAAAATGGAATAAAATGAGATAAAATGTAATGTAAATAAATAATGTTTCAGTAAAGTGGAAATTTATAGTTTCATGTTTCCAAGAATGCGAGAAGCCACGTCCATTGATTTTGTTATTTTCTCACACTTGCGGACTGTTACAAATACTATTTAAAATTTAATAATGTATTGTAATTGATAAAAAAAAACCTTTTTTATTAGTTAGTCATAAATTTATTTTCCAGATATTACGGCCCGGAGGCCTGTCCAGTTTCAACAGGATCGGCGGGCTAGCACTGGGTCAGACAAGAGTGGTGGGATAAGCTAACACCTAATTTTTTTTCTACCTAAGCTGATAGCTTTGAGCGGCTATTTCAGGGTAACCTTAACTAGTAAGTGAGCTCACGGGGCTCAAACCTGACGACGTTGCTAACACGAACCCTAGCAAAAGCCGTGCTTCGCAGAATCTACCACCAGATCGGAAACGCGACCCACTGAGAAGATCCGGCGAGAAACTCAGTGGGCTGTGTCTGTGGGTTAATTTACTCGTCGAGCCCTTCGTCGTAAGCGACGGGTTCGGCGAGAACGATGACCGGGCACCTACCGGAGTACATCCGAAGGGGACTTATCAACACAAGGGCAGTTCCTTCGCTAATACATCTACTACCGAATCGGAATCGCGAACTACTGACAAGATCCGGCGAGAAACTCAGCGGACTGGTGTTAGGTTTCATGTTCACGGTTACGGGGGATAGGTTTTATGACGAGTTCGATAAGTATGGGTACCAGGGTTCCTGTGCCTGCTCCTAATGCAGGGGCTACAGGCGTCTAGTGGTGATTTTAGTGGATCGGATGGAGTCGTAGGGACGTGTCTAGGACATCAGTGGTCCTGCACAAGCCGGAATTGGAGAGTAATCAGCAGCGGCCACGATGGGACGATTTTTATGACGCATCACCTTATTCAAGTCTCCTTCCGTCGATAACTTCGGGTGTCTTCAGTTCAATTCGAGGTCCAGATCGTCGTGAAGGTAGACGTTTCTAACGAACCACGGTGCTCCAGCTATTCACTAGCTATTCAATGAAAACGTCGTGTAATAAAAATGAAACCCGCAAAATTATAATTTGCGTAATTACTGGTGGTAGGACCTCTTGTGAGTCCGCGCGGGTGGGTACCACCGGCCTGCCTATTTCTGCCGTGAAGCAGTAATGCGTATCGGTTTGAAGGGTGGGGCAGCCGTTGTAATTATACTGAGAACTTATAACTTATATCTAAAGGTGGGTGGCGCATTTACGTTGTAGAGGTCTATGGACTCCAGTAACCATTTAACACCAGGTGGGCTGTGAGATCGTCCGCCCACCTAAGCAATAAAAAAATCAGGAAAAGGAACTGTGTACTTAGTGCGAGTTTTTTAATGTTCTCGTTAGCGTACAAGTTAACTCAAATTTGTATGAAGTTGGAACGTTTGCCTATGTTTGGCGCTAGGGGCGCTGTTCAGATTGCAGATATACAAGTTCCCAACAACAACATTCGGACCGTTGGTCTACAGTAATATCACCCGTTCGATGCATTTTTCTCTCTCGGTCGTTAAATCTCCCACACTATCATAATTTCATACTTTAGATACTTTCTGCCTGAGGGAATTAGAAAAGGAAATCAAAATACATTGTGAAAATAATGTAATATTCCAACGAATTCATATTATTTCAAACATCTGTAGATAAATAAATACATTTATAGGGGTATTAAGTTAACAAAATGTATGTGATTATTTAGCTACTTGCTAAATGAAGATAATTAAGGGCAAGCAACATTTGCTCATCGAAGATAGCAGTCATCAAATAATAGTTACATTTGAAACTGCACTAATTAATCACAATAGACCATTTGTGTATGTGTAAGACACTCACATAAACATTTGTCTCATGTTAAGCAAATTGGACAACATGAAACAACTTTAGACTGGCCTCATACTGATATGCTTATGTTTGTAGTGGATAGTGCTTACTCTACAAATATTGCTGGCTTTAGGCACTACATATGCTTTTTAGAAGCAATAAGTGTTGACAAAAATATTATAATTTAAGCCTACATCAAATATGAATCAATACTACCAAACAGTTTCTAGACACAATGAAAGTTACATTCCAGGTAAAATGTTTTCGAAACATGTTAATAATTTTTATGTTATTAACCTTTGTTCCGTAAGAGATTTTGATAATTTCGTAATCTCAAGTAAATTAAAAAACATATATGTCTCGCATTCTAAGTTATTTCTGGCTTTTAGATAGACTAATTTAAGGTGACACAGCATTCACATATAGCTGATGAATTAAATGAGTTTTTTTTGTTTATGCAAACATGCTCAATTATAAAATAAGCTATCAACAATAGTTTTGTAATTGTTTGCATGTGTGCACTTCTATATTTACACTCCAAAATAAATGTTTGTTGATTTGACTAATATTTCAACGTTTGTTGTTCTACTTTATCTACTTTTTCCTCCTAGTTCGAACCACGGTCCAGCCAGGTTCAATGTCCTCGTCCATAGGCTCAGAATCTTGCTTGTCTTTTCCTATTTCATCCACATTTGATACATTTTCAGGTAATTCTTCTTCATCTTCACTACTACTGCTTGTCGTGTCATCATCTGGGTTGCCATGGTGCTGTAATTAGTAGAATACGAAATTTTACAGACATGGTACATATTATCTTGTTACAACAATTATAATGTTCCAATTGTTTAGTTTTCAATGAAGGTGAAGAAAGCACGGAGTTTAATTCTAATATTATTAAATTTTATTATTTTTATTTACTCTTTGATAGGTACAAACACATATATTTATTTGCAATGCTAATAATTATAGGCAGTGGTACAACTGGCATTGCTGACATCCACGAGTGACAGTGACTAGTTACCATCAGTTGGGCCATATACTTGTCTGCCTCAGAGGCATGAAAAACTGGAGCAAAAGCTATGAAAAAGCTACTATCTAAAGGAGCTAGCGAATGAGTGTCCACTTTTTTTAGGAAAGACACTCAAAAGTTATTGCAGATCTGACTGTTTTCTATCTGCTGTTAGTTTGAAACAGACCAATAACATTATAACATTTTTAACTTACTTGTGGAGGAACTGATTCATGTATTGGTTGACTCAACCATTTCTGACATTTAGGCATTGCCTCAATCCTAGCTCTCAACTCATCATGATGTCCCTCTTTTAGTAAAGTAAGGTAAAGTATGAGTAGATTTGCTATTTCTGTAAATATTAAATTTAAAATCAGTTGGGCTTATTGTATTACACTTAATAATTAATTTTATGTTTAATATCAGAAACATTGGCCCTGAAAAAGATGCTGAAGTTTTGCAAGACTCATGCTAGTTCAAGTTTTTGAGTCCATATTTCATTATAGTCAGCGAAATGGGCTAAATGAGAAAACACAGCCGAATCAAAATATCAAGATAGTTAAAGTTGCATAGTTTTGAAACATGTGTATATGTCAGGTAAAATTAAATGTGTTAACACCTACCTACCTACATATGCCTTCAAAAATATAGTAAAGAGAAACATGTACAGTCAAAATCTGTTATAACGACATCGAAGGGACTGCTCATATTCAGTCGTAAAAACAGATAGTCGTAACAACCGGTGATGCTTAATGTGTATCGTGCAAGTACAAACAAATCGATAGGGAATTATTGGAAAAATATATTTACATAATACGCGATTTTTCTTCAATATTAATTTGTTTTCTTTATCTTTGCGAGATTTTGAAAGTTGCACGAATAACTCTACAAAGTTTTGGTGCGTCTTGTGTATAGATAAGTAACAAACTAACTGAAGAGATATGAAGAAGTGGGCTTTGACTACCGCATGCACGTGTTTTGTTTCTAAGAATTAGAAAAGACCCTACACTAAACTAAATCCTACTGTTTTCTTTCCTGATTTTAAAAGCCATTGAAGACAAATGTGGATACCTATTCAAATTGTTTACAATACCTTAGCCGGTCGTTCTAACAGATCTAATTCTCCGAAATATTAGTTAAATGTGGTCGTTTTATGAGGTATGTCGTTATAAGCAATGTCGTATAAAGCAATATTTTTAATAAGGCGGTCATATGGCATTCAGCCGGGACCTTTGTTCTTGGTTATTATAACCGGCATGTTGTATTAAACGATGTCGCAGTAAACGGTTTTGACTGTATACTCAAATCGACAACTATTTTTTGCAACTACAACCACCACATAATGTTATAACAAATATATTAAGATACCTGGAGGAATTAGTTTACGTAATTATTAAAAAAAAAACTAGACAGTTACTAACACCACAATGACATGATACAGAATCATGATTTTTAATGTTGGTCCATAAATAATATGATCAGTTATTATCAATTACAATTAAAAAGATGCATAATTGAAAAATATACTGGCAAATATGAGTATTATGAATATTCTGCATGTTATATTCGAATGCACATTCTTATTTAAGATGAGGATTCAGAAGAAAAAAATTTGAGCTGGTCAGATTTAATGTCAGATATCTGGAACGAAAATGTGGGTATTGTACCTTTGTAATAGGTTTTTTTTATTTTTTTATTGCTTAGATGGGTTCACAGCCCACCTGGTGTTAAGTGGTTACTGGAGCCCATAGACATCTACAACGTAAATGGGCCACCCCCCTTGAGAGATAAGTTCTAAGGTCTCAGTATAGTTACAACGGCTACCCCACCCTTCAAACCGAAACGCATTACTGCTTCACGGCCGAAATAGGTGGGGTGGTGGTACCTATCCGCTCGGACACACAAGAAGTCCTACCACCTGTAAAAATCTTAGAATAAATCTTAATCATGTTTTTGATCAATAATAAACTATATAAATTAAAACAATAAAATATATGGTTACTTTGACTTACCTTTCGGAGATTCATCATGGCAGACAGTATCAAACTCTTCATCCATGAGATCTTCTATCACTTCAGCCAACTCATCTCTATCCACTACATTTTCAACACAATATCTTGCTATATACACTGCCATTAACTGTGCCGTCTGAAAAGACAGTATCATTATAAGCTAAAGCTAAAAGCAAAATAATGATTTTACTGTATATTGTCTAACATAATAAGTATATAGTTATTAATAGTCAAACAAACACTACTAGTGTAGTTAACCATCCAATCCTTAAAGTATTCTATTTATATTTTAAAAGTTAATTAATAACAAATAGGATGTATATATTTTATCGCAGTGATTGAAATTTTTGTCAGGAAACAGCTGTCCTGCCTTTCGAATTACGTCAATTACGGAATTACGACGTAATTTACGTCATCACTTAAGTGTTTTTTGAACGCCTTTATCACGATTTACTTATTAAATACAATTACAAAATATGATTTTTTAAGTTGTTAAATTAATTGAAAAAACATTTCACACCTTCTCACCGCCTGGAGCTCCCATACCATGTTCAACAGCTAGTTGTAAAGCTGTCCAGTTATTGAGTACTAAATCTACGATAGGTTTAAAATCGTCATACAACATTTCTTTATTTTTATGAGATTTATTAAACTATGTAAACAATACTAAATATTGAAGTTCACACATTTTCATAACCTCTGCTTTACACCACTTTTTTTAAGGGATTTTATGACCTGGTAACTAAGACCTTTAGGTCAAGTCCTATTTTAATTTTAATGAAAACTTTTTTGTATGAAACATGATATAATGAAATAAACTGAAGTGATTCGAAACATGGCATGAAATGAAATGAAATAAAACGAAACGAACTGAAATGAAATATAATCTCTAAAATGGTGGTCATTTACTGAAACTTTTACAGTGTACTTTTTGGAGGATCCCGAGAAGTTATGTTCAGCGGCTTTGTTTCATTTTCTCACATTTGTGCACTTTCTCTAATACAAAACACACAAAACAGTTAATAAACCACCCTTATTACACATTTAAACCTGAAGAAATACTAAATAGACAAAATAAAACAAATCACACAACTTCACACCTCGCGTTCCCGCAAAAAAGTCCGCTTTCCACCACAAATGGTGGACCGTCCATAGGTAATACATTTATTAATTAATATGTTTTGAAGACTTACTTTTGTAATAAAATAATATATTACTGAACACTATTTCTCCAATAGACCCAAACTTTAGAAAAAATATCGTTTATTATCCGCTTAATAGTTTATATTTTCATTTCATCTTGTCTTTGATGTCCAGAAGGAAAGAGTACTAGGCTAGGCTAGAACACCAAAACTGGCATCATAGTAGCAACCGCGGATGACTGTAATTAACCGTCAAACGAAAGCACCTTGTGCCAGACGACTTTGAATATTTTAGCATTTTCAAAGCTCAATTCCAGGATCTCGCCCGGATCTAATTCATTATGAACGATACGATATTTATATTATGACTGATATTGAATACTGGTGGTAGGACATCTTGTGAGTCCGCACGGCTAGGTACGAGCACCCTGTCTATTTCTGCCGTGAAGCAGTAATCTCTCAAGGTGGGTGACGGCATTTGCTCTTAAGATGTCTATGGGTTCCAGTAACCATTGAACACCAGGTAGGCCGTGAGCTCGTCCACCCATCTGTGCAATAAATAAATAAATTAAAAAATACGATCAGCTCTAGGTTTATACGTGAAGTGTTTTGTGTCTGTGCCTTTTATCCATAGAAAATAAATTGAAACTAGAAGACTGTGATAGTATTTCATTTCATCCCAGTTGGTTAATGTCTCAAATTAATGATCTTTAGAAGTTGTCGTGGCCTAAAAGATAAGACGTCCGGTGCATTCGTATAAAGCGATGCACTGGTGTACGAATCCCGCAGGCGGGTACCAATTTTTTTAATGAAATACGTACTCAACAAATGCTCACGATTGACTTCCACGGTGAAGGAATAATATCGTGTAATAAATATCAAACCTGCAAAAATTATAATTTACGTAATCACTGATGGTAGGACCTCTTGGGAGTCCGCACGGGTAGGTACCACTCCGCCTATTTCCACCGTGAAGCAGTAATGCGTTTTGGTTCGAAGGGTGGGGCAGCCGTTGTAATTATACTTGAGACCTTAGAACTTATATCTCAGGTGGGTGGCGCATTTACCAATAACCACTTAACACCAGGTGGGCTGTGAGCTCATCCATCCATCATTTAAGCAATAAATAAAAATCTCCATTTCATTTCACTCCATATTGGCCGTTTTCCAATTACAGCACAAGAGCGCATTATGCGGCATAATGCTCAACTAAACTTCAGCATAATTCGGCATTGTGCGTCACTGAGTTGCATTATGCTCTGTAATTGGAAAACCACTATTAAGTAATGGTGAAGCTTAGTTGAGCATTATGCCGCATAATGCGCTCTTGTGCTGTAATTGGAAAACGGCCATTAACATTTTTCATAAAAATAAGAATATAAATTGAAATAAGACATGTCTTAAAAGTCTTAGTTACCAGGTCATAAAATCCCTTAAAAAAACACAAGCAGTAGGGCCACATTGGCCACAAAAACAATCAGTCATTCGTTCAATAAATTCAAAAATATTTCATTTTGTAAACAACGTGCAATAATGTTAAATGATTGAATTTTTTATTTATTAAAAATGACCGATGATATCAAAGTGACTTTTATAATACCGAAAGATTGTAAAAGCCAAGATGATTGTTCAGAAGATATGCAACTCGCATTTGTTGTAAGTTTACAAAAAAAATGTGAACATAGAAACTATTTCTCGTGAAAATCATATTTTTTTCTTATTTCTGTGGTTTCATTATGTATTATGTAATGTAAGACTGTTAACGATTATTCTGAGCTATATGTACGTAAACTGAAGATGTTCATGTCGGGAAGTTTTTAACAATGTCTTAACATGGTGTTAATGACTTGGTTTCACGCGAGGACAAACTATTTCCTAGTGATATTGTATTATAGAATACATCAGACGTTATTATAATATTAAATAATAATTAACCAGGCTTGCGAACAACACAGTGGGGGTGGTCTGCACGGCCAGTGGGTGCATGAGACAAATTGGAATCGATTTGATGGTCTCACGAAGAGGGATGTCTTTGTCATAGCGCAGTTTGAAGGTGAATTATACAAGAAGTTGAGGGCTACTAAGTGCTTGTAAGTATTTTTGAATTTTACAAAAATGTCTTTCATACGATGTGCATGAGCTTATCCTGTGATAGCAAAAATTCGCATTAATCTATATCATTAATCTGTATCTTTGGAGTGGAGAAAGTTTTAATTTTTTACTTTAATTATTACTCTTCAAGTATTATATACATTGGCGGATCTAATGCCTGATGTATTATCTACCATTTAACCATATCTGCTGTAGAGAAATAATGGTAGGTGAGTGCAGTGAAAGTTAAATTAAACACATAAATACAAACAAATATACACACATGAACTAAATGCATGATGATTTAATTAAATTTTCCACAACAGTTGCTGTACCCTTAATTTGAACATACACCAGTCTCTAAAGTCCATTTTAATGCTTACTTATAGCTTAGACTAGGCAAAGATGTTCTTTCCTGAAGGTTTTTGTATTCCTGTTGCATAAATTAAAATGAACTAGCGAATCTTTAATGGAGAGCATTTAAAGTAATATAAAATAACTACATTTTTGCTCTGGCTTGCTATTGTTCATTAATAATATTTTTGCTTAAAAAGTATGATAAAAAAAATTACAAAGGGCTCCAAATATTTTAATTTCAGGCTAGTAGGCCCCCGATGTCTATCCTGCTGTCTTACAGAAGGTATTTCTATACCCACTGGCCCTGAACCGGTGTATACAATTGCTATGAGAGGCTTAGTCATAACTGCTAGTGGATTAAGCAAGGATAAAAAGGTGATGGTATAGTTTTGTTTAATTTTTCCCAGTTATTTATTTTAATGAAAAACTATTCAATCAGACCTGTTGGTAACTCTTCTGCATAATAAATTCTGTCTTTTTAGTATATTTTGGTTGAAATAAAAAATCACCAAAATTTTTCAATTACTTTATCTCAGAACAATGTTAAGTTAATGTTTCTGAATAGTCTTTGGACTGAAAAATTTTAAACCTTGGTGTACACATACTCATATCTATTCTTATGAGCTTTATTTTGAACTATATTCTTTTTTCAGCGAAAATAAACCAACATACATTCACCAATTCCTTCTATGATAAACCAAAAATTACTTATCTGAAAAATAAAAAATAAACTAGACATAAAAGTATATTTAGTGGTGATAGGGTATAGTCTACTGGTGTGTTGGTATCACCATATATCCCATTTAGTTTTTAAACTTAAATACATCCTAGTTTTAAAATAAAGCATGTGAAATGCTGTTGTTATTGCTATGCTATTGAGAACTCAACCTCATGTGTCAACTTGGATGGTGGCTTTCACATTTTTGTATCCACGAGTTCCATTTTTACCAAGTTTGGTAGTCAGATATGCATGTTTGAAACGGTAAAAGTAACAAAAATAAACTGAATAACAAAAATCCCATTTCAATTTTAGGAGAACATAAAGAAGAAAGTACATTGGATGGGTGGCATTTATAATAGTGTTTTAACAGATGATTCTACACACTTAGTGTCTGACACTGTATTATCTAATAAATATATTGTAAGTACATAATATTATATAATAAGTCATTACTCTATCAACCAGAATGTATCCATAGTATTTATGAAGATTTTTATAAATCATAGATATCATTGAAACATTTTTAGTGCAATGTCAACAGTTAGTGTATTGTTATAGGTTTTATTCCTATGTATTATTTCAATATTTATAGCAACATTGAGATAACTTAATTCATTACCCTCATTTACAATCATTATGTGTGTCTCTTAATCAAATATATATGTTAGAAGAATTAAAAAAAATGTGTTTAACATACCCCTAGACTGTATGTAATGAACACTATGTTCAAATTTCAACAAACAATTTTTGAAAGTAAAGTATTTGTGATCACAAAAATTGTAAAATTAATTATTATAAATTAGTTTGAATTATGTATGAATCTATTTCAGAAATCTGTAGAAAAAGGTATACCCATTATGTCGGAGACCTGGATTGAGGCAGTTTGGGAAGCATCACAGCGAATGAACATTAGTGGATCATCAGGAGAGTTTGACATTCACAGGTTGCCAGCATTTGCAAACCTTCAAGTCACAACATCGGGTATCTCTAAACGAGATAAACAAATGATAATGAAACTGGTCAATGAGAATGGAGGAATGTTCTCGGGTGTCTTCCAGAGTGAGACCACTGATGTGGTTGTATTGATGAAGTGAGTATATATTTTTTTCCTTGGGTGTGGATAGTCAATATTTTATTCAACATGTGTAGGCAGCGGCTTGGCTCTGCCCCAGGCATTGCTGAAGTCCATGGGCGACGGTAACCACTCACCATCAGGTTGGCCGTATGCTCGTCTGCCTACAAGGGCAATAAAAAAAAAGTGGCTGTATCATCATATAACACAAGATATTTGACAAATGCCTAAATCTCGCTTAGACAAGCTTGCATATATACAAGTACTCAACAAATGTTCACGATTGACCTCCACGGTGAAGGTATAACATCGTGTAATAAAAACCAAACCCGCAAAATTGTAATTTGCATAATCACTGGTGGTAGGACCTCTTGTGAGTCCGCACAGGTAGGTAACACCACCCTACCTATTTCCGCGGTGAAGCAGTAATGCGTTTCGGTTTGAAGGGTGGGGTAGCTGTTAACTATACTGAGACCTTAGAACTTATATCTCGAGGTGGGTGGCGCATTTACGTTGTAGATGTCTATGGGCCCCAGTAACCACTTAACACCAGGTGGGCTGTGAGCTCGTCCATCCATCTAAGCAATAAAAAAATATATATATACAGGTTCCGAACAACAACATTCGGATTGTCGCTCTACCGAGCAATAACCGCTCGATGGTAGATCTTCCTTTCGTCGTATTCTCCACAAACATAGTTTTTTGGTTTTGTTTAGTTTTGAATAGTGTTTTGGTTTAAAATAATGAGATTGTAACATTGGATCTGTATTTTTTGTTTTAATTCAATTTGAAGGGTATGTGCTTCTATTTTAACTAGTTTAATGACTATTAAATTCTTCGATCAACAATAGTAACTAGATTTCGGGTCGGTGCATAAAATCCGTCTCGTCAAATAACAGCGCACTTGAAATGTGAGCTCTTATTTTGTTTAGTTCACTTCAAACACAGCCAATGTCAACCCGTCTCACAATACCGCAGTGTGTATTCAAAAGTTGCAAAAATAAGGCCCGAAAAAGCAATTTAACGGCCGGAGTATCTTACTTTCGGTAAGTACATGAAGTATAAACTATATTGTAAGCTTTAAACTTATAAATAATATTAAATTTTGAACAAAATTACCGATTTTTAACCACCGCTACAAATGTTGGCCAAGGCTCGGCCAACACATGGACAAACTTTTGCTTAACAGAACAGTAAATGCATGGAGTAGATTTGTGTTGTAATAATTTTTTAAAATTTGTTAGCAGCACTTCAAAATTAGTTGGTTAAAATTGGTTAATGCTGCTTTTGTGTCTGTTTGTTGGACTCTCATTAGATACTTAGCTTTCCATTTTTATTTTAGCTTTCCTAGCAATCACGTGTGCAGAATGGATCTCGATTGTCGCCAGAGAAACAAGAGATGACTTTTATAAGCCAGCTAAGAACTCCGCTTATTGACACTGGACATCTTTGCCTTCCGTGCTCACGGCTACTGAAATGTGGCCGAAACATTGTAATAAAAATACCACGCTTGAAACCGTTTAAACGTTGTTTTATTATGTGCACTGGTCGCGAAAACTTAAAAATATATATTACACAAAAACGTAACGCTAATAAAATAATAAGTAATGTATAGATACTAACAAACATACATTTCCAAAACATAAAAAGTAAACAACTAAACTTTTACTTTAATTCATTAATAAATTATTTTAGTGTTAAGCGCGACTCCCTTACCTCCTGTAGTAAATAGAAATCGGCATTTCAAGAAGCAAAAATAAATAAAGCAAAACGATGTTAGTTCTCAGAGCAATTAAGGGAAAAGTTACTTTATTTGTTGCACCTTAAGATTGATTTAACATTAAAAGTTGTTTAAAATATGTCTTTTTATTGGTAAGTGACAGGAGTAATTTATTGCTTTGCTCGTTTTATGTGACGAATGATCGTAAGTATTAGATAATGTTTTGGAGATTTGTGACTTTATTACTAGGTGCCATAGTTGTTATTAGTTTGAAAGTAAAAGTGTTTCAAAACTTTTTTCTCCGTTTGTTAGTAAACGAATGTAGCTATATAAGTATATATTCACGCGGACAGTTTTTGCTTTAATTTTGTACGTATCCCTTTATCTAGTTACTATTGTTGATCGAAGATTAAATTAGATAAATTTACGCAAACTGTTAAGATATCTTAATTATTTTATCTTCAGAGACGGTGCTGGCAGTGAAAAGTATAAAGCGGCCCTAGAATATGGCAAAGCTTGTGTCCTTCCATCGTGGGTGAAAGAATCTGCAGCACGGGGTGTTGCCCTTCCCGTGCTCAAGTACAAGATCACTGCGGCTTCCACGTCGTCTCCACTGGCCGAACACCGACTACCTGACATGAGTATGTATAATTATTTAAAAATAGCTTTTAAAGTAGTTACTGAACATTAACTGCTAAAAGGGGTGCTTTTAGGCACTACAAGCACCGGTCACCGCCCTCGTCGAACCCGTCGCTTGCGGCGAAGGGCTCGACGAGCGAATTAACCCATATACACAGCCCACTGAGTTTCTCGCCGGATCTTCTCAGTGGGTCGCGTTTCCGACCCGGTGGTAGATTCTGCGAAGCACTGCTCTTGCTAGGGTCAGTGTTAGCAATTCTCCACACGCTAGGGTAAGCTGAAATAGCCTCTCAAGGCTATCAGCATAGGTAGGAAAAAAAAAGCTAAAAGGTGTATCTGATAGAAACTTTTTTCTATATTGTTTTTTATTTTATTAAAAATGGTTTATTGTATCTCAGAAAATAGGTCAAAATTGACTTTCAAAGTATGAAATTTTAGTGAAGAAAACAGATTGAATAATTGAATTTAAGCAAGATTGTTTCATAGTTTATAACAGTTTTATTATTTCTTAGTGAGCGCGAACATCACAGTCTGGCATGTAACTATAAAAAAAAAAGTAACAATCTGAATAATTTTAGGTTTGAATTTCTCAAGGATAACAAACGTAAGACCGCCGAGTAATTTCGTTGACGAAACTAGATCGGTGGACGTATCAACTGTATCGGCCAAAATGAAAGTGAGTTTTAATTTTAAACACATATCATGAAAATTTCAAGAATAACATTTTAAAGTTATTTAGTTTAATAGTGTAAATGAATAATTATTTTTACACTTTCTACCAAATTTTCTGCCTTTTTAAAAGAGACAGATTTGCCAATGGCTCGCCTAATAGGAGATGGTCCTTGCTAGTGGACACTGACAGTGTCGGGAGTGCAGCCAAGATGCTGCAGACCACTAAGAACATCTTCCAAACCTCATGTGAAGATGGATTTTGGTCCAATTATACTAGTCATCCTCAGACCCTCATGAAACTGATTTAATTACAATAAAATTATTTTGTACAGCTATCCCAAGATGCAATATCGTCTGACACATCCATAGATAAGGAGCTACAAGCGGAATTTGACAATTTGGACATGAGTACCATAAAGAAGGCGGGACCCATCTTCGACGGTTTTTGTGTGAGTTTGTATAAGTATCGGGATAAGTAAAACTTTCAACAAATTACAAATTAAAACTCTATTTAACACTTAAAACACTTTACACTTCGTAAGTTACTGCTACCGCTTCGCTTTAGGTGATCCGTTCGTTGTTTCGCTTCGAGTAGATTCGATTATTAACTGACTCCGTGTCATCTCTGCAACGCTTTTATAGACATCGACGACGACGACATCTCTAGAATTATCGAGAACATTCCCGACAAGTCGTGTAGTTTCGATATGTGTTTCCGCTATTTGACAATAGATGGCGTTGTGCTTCTAGAACACTCGATTTTACTAGTTCTTTTGATAATCGTTTTTGCTATTCGACGATAGATGGCGTTTCTGTTACCGGCGAAAAAAATGCGAATTTTTAAAGCTTTGGCGTATTAGTAAGTTTCAAGACAGTAAAGATCCAAATAACCGTCGTCGTGGCCTAAAGGATAAGACGTCCGGTGCATTCGTATCGAGCGATGCACCGGTGTTCGAATCTCGCTGGCGGGTACCAATTTTTCTAATGAAATACGTACTCAACAAATGTTCACGCTTGACTTCCACGGTGAAGGAATAACATCGTGCAATCAAAATCAAACCCGCAAAATTATAATTTGCGTTATTACTGGTGGTAGGACATCTTGTAAGTCCGCACGGGTAGGTACCACCGCCCCGCCTATTTCTGCCGTGAAGCAGTAATGCGTTTCGGTTTGAAGGGTGGGGTAGCTAGCCGTTGTGACTATACTGAGACCTTAGAACTATATCTCAAGGTGTGTGGCGCATTTACGTTATAGATGTCTATGGGCTCCAGTAATCACTTAACACCAGGTGGACTGTGAGCTCGTCCACATATCTAAGTAATAAAAAAAAAAAAAAATTACCCCTAATATATCTGGTGCAGAAAGCAAGGGGAAACCACTGCACTATTTTCTCAAGAAAACTGTATGAATATTTATCTACTAGCTAACCGTTCTTAAAGAGGGAGAGCTTTATATAAGTGGGTAGGTCGTCATTAGCTATCGAACAGTCGTGGGGATTTTTCGGCGTTAATGCGAGGAGTGAAGTTGTGTAATTTGTTTTATTTTGTCTATTTAGTGTTTCTTCGGGTTTAAATGTGTAATAAGGGTGGTTTATTAACTTCTCGGGATCCTCCAAAAAGTCCACTGAAAAAATCTCAATAAATGACCACCATTTTACTGAGATTATATTTCATCCCATATCATCTCATCTCATTTCATTTAATTTCATCTCGGTTGATTAATGTCTCTTATTAATCATCTTCTTTTCATTTATTTCACTCCATATCATTATATTTCATAAAATTAAGAATATAAATTAAAATAAGGCATGACCTAAAGGTCTTAGATACCAGGTCATAAAATCCCTTAAAAAAAGAACAGTGGTGTTGTAGATCTGGCTGGTGGGGCTGGAGGGGCGCACCCGCGAGCGCGCGGCGGCGTGCGTGTCGCGGTGCGGCGGCGTGCGCTACGAGGCGGCGCACGGGCGCGTGACGCACGCGGTGTGCGGCGCGCGCGGCCCGGCGGCGGCGGCGGCGCGCGCGCTGCCCGGCGTGCCCGTGCTGTCGGCGCGCTGGCTGCTGCACAGCGTCGCGCAGGGCCGAGCGCTCGACGAGGCGCAGGTAACGTCGCTTTCGACACTATTTTTTTGGGCGTGATGCAGGTCAAATTTGAGTGTAATATATACTAGGGAGACAGTTTCGGAAAACGAAAATTTTGTACCTACAAAGTTGTAAATTTTGCGGAGCGCGGTATTCGCGATGCGCCCGGACGTGCGATGATCGGAGCATGAGCTGTTTTTGATTTTGTGTTTCATTGCTGGTTTTTTTTTAAGTAAAGTAATGTATTTTTTATGAAACGTATCATTTAATTTAGCTGTATAATAGCCGGCAAACTTCTTGAGCATTTGTTGACGTAGTGGGGGTAAGTTCGCGCATGGTACACTCACGTGCAAAAACATTATTTACTCTGCGTCATAATGCAATTAAATTATTAAAATCAACATATGTATCTATTTATATATTTATTAGAACATCAACAAAAAATATAGGTTAATAATTGTAATAATTTAATCTTGGGGTAAAATAGATATTCCTTCTATTAAGTCAAAACTAGAGCTGTTGCCAGGTCTTGATTCAGTTGAAGCGAAGCTGGTTTTGTAATTTTTTTTTCGTTATCATAATCTTGACCATCATCATCATCACTGTTTTCATCAGCCGAGTCGCTATCATCGTGATGAGTCGACATAGGGCTCATCGGTGTAGTTTATAACTCGATCGGTTCGGTCTTCTTTTTTGTCTATAATTAATTATTTTTTGAAGATATTTGATTCGTAGTAATCGAATGTAACTTTTTTCAATTACCAGCTTCCGATAATTTTCTGTTTTTTTTTTCCATCTGATGCCTAGCTCTTTCATAATTCGTCGTAAGCTTCATTCCGAACCATTAAAATTTATATCTTTAAATTTTTCGAAGCCTTTCTACGGTACGGAGTTTCGCTGCTTGTTGTGTAGTTATTATGATTACATCTTTTTATTACAGATTGAATGAAACTATCCATTCCGGTAACTTTCTTCTTCCCTGATCTTTTCTAACCCGGAGTCCGAAACACGGCGAGCAAGCCAGAGCCTTTAGCTTCGTTAATAATGCACCTCACAGTACTCACTGATGTTTTTGTTGTTTCCGAAGTCTGTTTTACTTTTTCCATATCATTCTTCCCCTGTTTTATAATGAAGCAACATACGTCGTGCACAATTTTTCTACCCTTTCTTTTGAATACTATACCAGTTTGTCACTGCATAGTGTATTTTATAAAAAATCAACAAACACTCAACAAATAGCAATGGCAACAAAGTCAACAAGCAATTATAACAAATAACTTAACGATTAATAACGATAGACTTTTCACTGTACGCAAGCGTACTTTTGGGAGCAAGCGGAATGAGGGCGCGGTGCGGGACGCAAGGTTCGACTGATCTACCAATAACGCGCTCGATACGATGTCCCCTGCCGTCGCGCCTCACCCTCACCACCAAAGTGATCTAAAATTCGGTTCTGCGCAGTCAAGGTCATTTGCTCAAGAAGCTTGCCGGTTACTATTCTAACATGATGGAACGTAAATAATGCTAACAAAACGCTTTAATATTTTTTTTTTAAATCACGCTTGTTTTTTTTTCGTCACATCATCAATGGTGTCGTTAGAACTATCGTCTGTCTTCGTTTTCGGAAGCGGTCTCCTAACACCCAATATTAATATTTTCATTGTCAGTAACTACAGATCTATAACGTATACTGAGTTTAGTTAATGCTAGTAGTAAAGCTGTAATACCGCAACCGTCACCATTCAAAAACACGCAAAACCTGAAAATACAATAGTATTGCACGTGCCCTGACTCGCATCTGTGTCGAGTTGGGAGCAGTCGTGCGTGTCACCGGCACGTGCCGACCGCACCCTGTTCGTATTCTGCAGTACCTAATGGACCCGAATCCTAAGACCCCAGCAAAAAGTACCAAGAAACAGAAACTGGAGGTGTCCTCGCCCATGAGCATTCGCAATCTCCAGCTGCTGCGGCGGCCGCTAGACCTTCCGCCTCCAGAACCCGTCCTGCAAGTCGAAGAACATCAAGATGAACTCGTCAATCAATATTTGAGCCGTAAGTCGTAGGAATAAAGTTCAATATTATCTATCAAAAATGAGAAAGATTATAGGGATAATAGGAGCTTAGTGTGCTTTCCGCACTGCACACTCTAGAAGACCTTTTAAAACAATTAATAGACGCAAGAGATAAAGCGCTACGGTGGACATTAATGTGGGGAGCTTTTATTAAGAAGCTTGCACACGATCCGATGTATTCCTCCTTTAAACAATTTTTAATTTCAAAGATGTCATATAGACTAAAGCTAAAGCTATTTTAAAATATTTATAAGGTGATTTAGCCCGATAAGTATTATAGTTTTATAGTGTAAGTTGATGTATAAAATAATATGTGCGTATTGTGTTGCTTTTGTTTTTTTGTAATTTAAATTTCTAAACTTCTCTTGTTCACTTTCTACTTACATGTGATTTTGATTGTGGAAACATATTTGGTTATTGTTTTAGCTATATTTTTTAAAAATATTATATGTTTGTATTGTATTGTTTCCCAAATAAATAAATAATTTTTTTTATCAAATACTGAACTCCAATTTCCACAGAAGCAGATATCGTCCCGGACCTTTCGAAAGAGAAGACTTCAGAAACGGACCGGCCGAATTCCACGCATCAGCAGCAACCGGACGTCACTGAGGACTTTGGAGACGAACCGACAGAGGAAGTAGAACAGATATTCGCGGGTACGCTTTACCTTTTTCTTACCATTTCCATGTGATTAATCTGTAGACGAGTAGTGTTCTCGCTCCCTTACCTTCTAAAGTCAATACGCATGTCCTTTTTTTTTGTTTTTCCTACCTAAGCTGGTAGCCTAGAGAGGCTATTCCAGCGTAACCGTAACTAGTAGGTGAGCTCACGGGGCTCAAACCTGACGACGATGCTAACACGAACCCTAGCAACAGTGCTTCGCAGAATCTACCACCGGATCGGAAACGCGATCCACTGAGAAGATCCGGCGAGAAACTCAGTGGGCTGTGTCTGAGAGTTAATTTACTCGTCGAGCCCTTCGTCGCAAGCGACGGGTTCGACGAGGACGGTGACCGGTGCTTGGAGTACCTAGAAGCACCGTTAGTGGATCGGGAGGATCCGAAATGACGTGTTTTGGGCGACGTCGACTGCTTTCCATTCTGTCCGCAGGATCGGGAATGCGCATGTCCTACACCCGGCACAAATGTACTGTCATCATACGATATTGTCATAATAATTACAGACAGTCGGATATTAAAGTGAAAACATTCTAAATAATATAATAATAATAAACTCATTTTTTGCCTTTCATACGAAATAAAATAAAATATAAATAAAAGAAAAGAAAAGAAGAAAAAGGCATAATAAGGTGGCTCAGCTAATGCAAAGTCGATCGATCAAACAGCGCTGATTTTCAGTCATCTCCGTTTCTCTTTGGTTCATTGCGGGAATGAAGCTAGCCCTCTACGTGTGTATTGACTTAGAACGTGGTACAAACTAGTATAAAAATATGAAAAAAAAGATGGTGGTGTCGTAGGACACCCGATAGGAACGAAGTTCTTTATTATAAAAATATTAATTTTAAGTTCTAATCGAGGTATAAAGAAAATAATTATTCGGGTATACATTTTTTAATATGATTTTTTTATTGATAAAAAAATACTTTAGAAAGTTATCAACTTTATTTTATTCACAATGATTTATAAAAATATATAATAAAAAAATGTTATTTTTTGTGCGTTATTACAAAGTTAAGTCGTACATTGTGCGCTTTACTACTAAAAATCTTACGTTACGGACGTTTTTTCCCGGTTAGGGTACTCCTCCGCATCGTCCCATAAGGAACTTCGCTCCAACCAAACAAAAAGCAAATTAAATGGTGGTAAAATTCTGTAGCGTTTATCCCTAAGACGGTGAAGGTTAACAACATTAGCGTCGTGCAGGTCTGCGGCTGGAGGTGCAGGCGCTGAACGAGGAGGCGGTGTGCGAGCTGGCGGCGGAGCTGGGCGCGGCGGGGGGCGCGCTGTGCGCGGGGGGCGCGGGGGGCTCGCACGTGCTGCTGCCGCTCGACTTCGACCCCGCCGAGCGCCTCTCCGCCGCCGCCGAGCCTGTCACCGCCTTCTGGATTGTGAGCAGACTCCTCTATACTACTCAGTCATAAACATAGGCCGCTCTAAATATACATAGCTCTGTATAGCCATTACTGATGATGAGATGCCAGGTGGTTCTGAAGTTACAATACAAATTATTCGTTATTTTAAAGCATTACTCAAAGTTGCTCAGAATTCACAAGTTGACAAATGGATTGTTGAAAAATGCGCTCGATATCAACTGGGTGGTCGTTGTTGCCTCTCATGTTTGGGGAACAGGACACGATCATGTCTTCCACAACAGAAACTACCAGCGACCCCTAATTATGGGTGGTAAGACCTCTTGTGAGTCCGCACGAGTAGGTACCACCACCCTGCCTATTTCTGCCGTGAAGCAGTAATGCGTTTCGGTTTGAAGGGTGGGGCGGCCGTTGTAACTATACTTGGGACCTTAGAACTTATATCTCAAGGTGGTTAACGCATTTACGTTGTACATGTCTATAGGCTCCAGTAACCACTTAACGCCAGGTGGGCTTTGAGCGTCCACCCATTTAAGCAATAAAAAAAAAGTTTTTCCGTATTCCAGAAAGACTGTCTATCTCAACAAGAGTTGGTTCCCCTGCAATACTACCACCGGCCCGTGCGCGTCAAGCCGAGCCCGGAGCCGCCGCTGAAGGGAGTGGTCGCGAGCCTCAGTACGTACAGCGGCGTCGAAAGGGCGTTCTTGGATGAGCTGGCCAAATTATTGGGAGCCACGTAAGTTTTTAGTTGTCATTAATCCACATTCGAAATACAAATCGCATTTGACATACGGTACGTAAATCTGAGATGTCAGTTGTGCAGCACTAGTGCTAGAACATTCGACGCTATTTATACATTGATCATTACAATGGAGTTGAATTCGAAATAAGAAATGTGAACGAAGACGATTGTTGTTTATGAGCTGTTATAATAATTATTATTATTAGATATTAGTTTTTTTTTTTGAGGTGATTATAATTATAAATATAAAATCGAGTAATAATTATATTTTAAACTCCGTATTTATTAGTACCATAATTGAGAATTCGTTAATAAAAAACAAGAGGACATAATCCATCAATAGTTTAATCGATCGAGTGCTATTCGAGTCGATTATCGATCCGAGCTAATATCGATATTTTCAAAACTACAATTGTGAATGTGAACAGTACTCAACTACGTTTCTGTCGACGGAACACCGCCAACGCCCTGGCCTCGACGCATCTCATATGCCCCTCGCCCTCGGGGGACAAGTATGCCGGGGCCCTTAAATGGGGTCTGCCCGCTGTGAAGGCTTCTTGGCTGCTGACCTGCGCGGCCGAGGGACGCCGGGTCAGCGAGACGGGACACCTCGTCGGCGAGACTCAGGGTATGGCCTATTGGTGCAGTCTGGCCGGTACATTATTACACTTAAATATCATTTTCGCTACCTACCTACCCTGCTATCTACTCGTACGGACTCACACGATACTACGATTTGTATATTAATAAATGTTGATTTTTTTAAATTTAAATATTAGGGTTACATGTATGTTAGAGGAAGTCTGAAAGTGGCATCTGTGACAGTGAAGTTGATAAGTGCGCGTTTGGGATGGTATGGACATGTGATGAGAAATGAAAGTGGTCGGTAACAGAGTGTTAACTATGAATGTGGAAGGATATAGAGGAAGAGGTAGACCTAAGAAGAAATGGATGGATTGCGTGAAAGACGATTTGTGTAAGAGGGGAGTGAGCGAAGAAATGGTATGATAGAGGAGTTTGGAAGGAGAACACAGGTTGCGCAGGCCCCAGGTGACTGGGAGAAGGACAGGATACAGGATAATGATGATACTATTTTACTTAGTAATATATTTTATACCACTTCTCCGAGAGTGAATTTCATACGAACAAGCAAGTAATTCTCAACAAGTTATATTAATCAGAATCAGTCATGTTGTCTTCAGGAAGAAATAAACATGACATAATTTCGTGTTTCAGCTCCCTCGACGCCGGAACGTATTCAGGAGGAAAAAGAAAATAAAGAAGATACGACAGTGATGGAGAAGGAGAACGCCATGCTCCCTCCCCGCAGCCCCGCCGCGCCCACCCCCGCCCCCGCCGCCAGTGCAGAGCAGACCCCGGCTAAACAAGGTACCACCACATCCGATCAACCGTTATGCAGTGCTATTGAAACTGAGACGGGTGAGGCGTTCATGTAGTGATGTCGACGGACTCCGATAACCGCGTAACACCAGATCGGTCGTGAGCTCATGCATTTTGTGTGTGTATATTGATCATCATGTCATGGTCGCTTAGCTGGCGATATTCTTGTATACCTCACACATAGATGGGCTCAAGCCTTGGAGAGCAAGGGTGAGACTCTCGCTGTGAGCCTTGACATCGTGTAGGTCTTCAACAGGGTCTGGCATAGGACACTTATATCGAACCTTCCAGCTTACGGAATCAAGTGGATCGCTAGCATTTTGGATGGACGGAGCATCACAGTTGTCGTCGATGGCTGCTGCTCCGATACCATGACCATCAATGCTGGCGTTCCAGAAGGTTCGATGCTCTCTCCTACGCTTTTCATACTGCATATCAATGACATGCTATCTATTGATGGCAAGCATTGCTATGCGGATGATAGCACGGGGGATGCGCGATATCTCGGCCATCAGTCTCTCGAAGCGTTGTACACGAGAGGCGGTCAAAACTTGTGTCTGAAGTGGACAACTCACTGGGGCGGATCTCCAAGTGGGGTGAACTGAATTCAGTTCAATCAAATTGGCCTTTAAAATATTGGAAGTCCTCAATAGAGCGAAGCGGTATTTCATGCCTGGGCAGAGACTTGCGCTTTATAAAGCACAGGTCTGGCCTCGCGTGGAATACTGCTCTCACCTCTGGGCCGGGGTTCCCAAATACCAGCTACTTCCATTTGACTCTGTATAGAAACAGGCGGTTCGGATCATCGATAGTCCCCTTTTCGCGGATCGTTAGAACCTCTGGGTCTACGGAGGGACTTCGGTTCTCTCTGTGTTTTGTACCGTATGTTCCACGGGAATGCTTTGAGGAATTATTCGAGATGATCCCTTCATCTCCCTTTTATCATCGCACCTCCCGCCATCGGAGCAGAGTTCATCCATATTATCTGGTAGTACCGCTGCGTTCATCGACAGTGCGTTTCCAAAGATCTTTTCTGCCACGTGCCATCCGGCTTTGGAATGAACTCCCCTCCACGGTATTTCCCGAGCGCTATGACTTGTCCCTCTTCAAACGAGGCTTGCGGAGAGTGTTTAATGGTAGGCAGCGGCTTAGCTCTGCCCCTGGTATTGCTGACGTCCATGAGTGACGCTAACCACTCACCATCAAGTGGGCCGTATGCCTACACAGGCAATAAAAACGCACTCATTTTAAGAATTAGTTTTGTTTTGTTCACCGTACATATAATGTGTTTGTTGCAGACAACGTGGATGCGATGTCCCCGGCGAGCCGCTACATAGCGATGGCGCGGCAGGGACTCCTGGGGGGAGACTCGCAGGACACCCCCAAACAACAACCAAACGGCGCCGCTGGGGACGGTACGTGCTGCAGCCATCAATGACAGTGTTCATAACAATGTGGCGGCTGATTTGACCTCTCTTGTATAGTATGTCGGAGAAACCACATTTATTAACACCATCGTCAGACATCGTAGGGGTGAATAGGGTGATCAAGCTAAGAGAAATATTGAGTACACCAATCACGTTTGCTGTCTTAGAACAATTTAGAAATCTTTTCTTGAAGTTCGCAAACGAATGATAGTTCTTAGGACGGAGGAACCGGTCTTCAAGAAGGCTGATTGGTAAGTGTGATGGCGTCTACTCGCCTCCACTGGCTAGGCTTTATCGTAGCACGAAGTTAGCCGAGTTCCGACGATACCGCTATCGTGCTGCGTTTCGTTTAGCTACCAAACTAATGACCGTCTCCGACAAGTATAATACTTACCATGACATGGGGTAAATTGGGACTCTGGGGTAAATTGGGACAAACCTGCGGAAGATTCTCAAAGTACCTGTAGCACGGAATCTACCTAATTTTGTTTATGTTAATATTTATCATTGTATAGAAGAAAAACCAAGTTAACTATGGAAGTACTAAATATTAGTTAAGTTGGTCCCAAAAATTCGTCAAATTAAATTGAAAACAGTGGTTGAAAAGTGCGTTTTAAAACAGCTCAAAGAACTTTTAAAAAAAGTAATATTATCGTTGTTTTTTCAATAAGATCACAGTTTATATAAGTTTTTAATACACCTGGAAAAACCACAAGAAACGGTAAGTTGCAATATTCTTATTTTAAATACAATATTTCGACAAAATAAAAAATGTATATTTTTTCCTTTCTTTTTGGGGAAAATTGGGACGTATGTGAGGTAATTTGGAACGAGACTGGAAAAATTAGGGACGAAAAAACACAAAATTGGAACGCGAAAAGACAAAATAGGGATGGCTTGTTAGGGTTGTCACTGATATCTTATAATAGATTTTTTAGCCTATACTATCACTCAATTGCGTGATGTAAAGAAGGTTAATGTGTTTATCAGTTAGTTTATGTAAGTATTATAGGTAAAAGAAAAGTATATATATAATTACTTTTTTTTCGCGACATTTACCTTGTAATATCTGCCCGGTCGTATTTCCTTTAACTCCTTTATAGCAATAAAAAAATTTAAAATTAAAAAGAACTCAAACGAATCAAAACTTTTGTTATTTCAGAATCTATTCACGCGACGAATCATGATTTTTTTAACATTCACAAGACACACACAGATAAAAACAGGCCTCAGATTTTAAATGTAACATTAATTAAAAATCCGAGATATCTAGGTTCCAATTATGTTGAGTTTAGTTATTTAGCTTAGAAAGAAATTCTTTTATTTTTGTTATTATTGACAGTAATCAGATAAAGCTGCTTTTTTATCTTATTCACCTGATATCTTACTCTTGTTCAAAGATTATTTTGAAAATGTTGATTAAATAAAATTGTATTATTGCATTTCCAGTCCTTTTGTTTTCTATTTTTTATTCTATTTTATGATTTTGTTTCAGAGTTGTGATTTTTAAGGAAATTAAATAATAATTTTCTAAAATTATTATTTAATTTTAGAAAATTAATATTAATAATAATATAAATAAAATAAATTAAAATTATGCACATACTTTTTTGATCATTGTATTGTTGATTATCATTCACGTCACATCGCTTCGGAATAGAAACCAGCTTAATTTACACTATGTTGTGTATTGTGCTTAAATTATGGATTGTATTCATCATTTCGGTCCATATAAATAATTGTATGACACCTACCTATATATCGCAGTACTGCGAGCTGACAACCCTTACAAATATCCCAATTTAACCCTTACCCGTGTCAATTTACCCCGGACGCAGGGTAAATTGGGACGGCCATTATTTTACCGATTATTTCTTTAAAATGAATAATTAAAATAATGTAACGATTTTTATCACCTAGGTACGTTCAAGACTCAACTTATTTCTTTGGTTGAGCAGTGACTATTTAATTGGAACTATCTTAAAATTCAATCTGAAGTTCGATTTTGTCCCTATTTACCCCATTTTACGGTACTCATTCTTATAGGCAGCACAGAAATGACTCTTATGCCGTTAGTAAGTCGTATAAGGAGTTATTCAACATCATCAAACTTGAAACGCGCACTGTTGCTCACTACCCCCCAACCCTCCTCTCACGACCCCCGGAACTGCCCGCTGCGAGCAGCTTCTAGCGTCCTCGACTGACGGTCCACCTAGCAGGGCTGTATTGAGGCTTGACTGTATGAAGTCGGTAGCGGTGCATTGTGGGCCCGCACGGGCAGGTACCGCCCTCCTGTCTGTTCCTGCCGCGAAGTAATGCGTTTCGGTTTCAAGGAGAAGTTTGAGGGAGTAATTAAGTCGTCACCAATTTAAAAAATAATGTCTGTGATGTACCGCATGAAAGTAGAGCGTTTCGGTTGGCGGGACTGATAAGTGTTATCGATTTAGGAATTAATTATTTGTCTGTCGCATACTGAGTCGAGTGCACGTGTAGTTTTTTTTCCCTACCTATGCTGATAGCCTTGAGAGGCTATTTCAGCTTCGCCCTAACGTCTAGGTGAGCTCACGGGGCTCAAACCGGAGTGTTGCTAACACTGGCCTTAGCAAGAGCAGTGCTTCGCAGAATTACTACCGGATCGGAAACGCGGCCCACTGAGAAGATCCGGTGAGAAACTCAGTGGGCTGCGTCTATGGGTTAATTTACTCGCCGAGCCCTTCGTCGCAAGCGACGGGTTCGGCGAGGACGATGACCGGTGCTTGTGGTGCCTAAAAGCACCGTTAATGGATCAGGGGAACCGTAATGACGTGAACGTATAGTAATTGTAGTTGTGTTGCAGAGGAGTGCCGCAGCCCGGCGTCGACTGGGGGGCGGAGTCGCGTGCGGGAGCTGCGCCGCGGGGAGCCGGCCGCGGACCCGCTGCGGACACCGGTCGACCCCTGTTAGTCTTTTTTTTATTTATTGCTTAGATGGGTGGACGAGCTCACAGCCCACAGCGGTAGGCAAATCTTCCATACTTTATTACTTTTTTGTCTTACATGCTAAATCTATTATTATGAATTGTATTCAAGATTTGTTAAAAATAAAGCTGGCTACAACAATCCGTACCGGAGATGTAACTATGCGTCTTCACAGTCAAATCACAGCTTTGAGTAAAGGAATCCTGTTCATTGGAAAATGAATCAAAGTCTAGTAGTACTACTAGTACTAGTAGTAGTAGCTTTTATGTGGGTAGTTTTATTCATTCATCAAATCCAGTTTTACTGGTCGCGTTGGATGTTTTATTGTACAGTTCCTAAAATACAGAAAATTTACTGGTGGTAGGACCTCTTGTGAGTCCGCACGGGTAGGTACCCTGCTTATTTCTGCCCTGAAGCAGTAATGCGTTTCGGTTTGAAGGGTGGGGCAACCGTTGTAAATATACTTAGACCTTAGAACTTATATCTCAAGGTGGGTGGCGCATTTACATTGTAGATGTCTATGGACTCCAGTAGCCATTTAACACCAGGTGAGCTGTGAGCTCATCCACCCATCTAAGCAATAATAGAAAATTATACTTTATGTTGATTACAATACAGTCGAGAGGAACACGTCGACCCCGGACAGCGCGTTCGGCGCGGCGCTGCGGCCCGGCTCCGGCCGCCTGTCCCCGGATGCCCGGAAGCGCCTCTGGAGGGTCGTCAACGAGCTGCCCTCCAGGCAACCCGAGCCGCCCCGGAACAAGACCACCGTAAGTACTGCTCACACACGATACCAACGATTCCCTTTCACTGATGATCAGTTTTTAGGTATACGACGGAGGGAAGATCTTCCACCGAGAGGGTGATATTGCTCGGTAGACCGACGATCCAAATGTTGTTGTTCGGAACTTGTATATATGCAAGCTTATCTTGAAAATGTAAGCGAGATTCAGACAAATATCTTGGGTTGTATAATGGCTACCCGCCACACAGTTTGTAAGAAACGCACTGCGAACTGCATCAATCTTTCAGATCTTTTGTTGCGCAATCCAAGCCCTAAAATTCCCACATGGCTGTTAGCGCCGATTTTCGAATTAGAATCACCCATGATAACATATAGTTCTCTGGGGCCGGAAAGATTTTAAGTAGGCTCTCCCACTTCCTCCCTTCCTACCTCCGTCTCCTCTTCCTCCGATCGCTCCCCCTTCCCTCACGCCCCCCCTTCCACCCCTGCATTAATGTAAGCAATCGGTTACATTGACAGCCGCTGTCGGAGATCCGCAACCGTTTCTTGTCCCGGTACCAGGAGGGCGTCGCCACGCCGCCCGTCGCCACGCCGCCCGTCGCCACGCCGCCCGTCGCCACGCCCCCCGCCACGGCTCCCAGGAAACTGCAACTGGTGAGATTAGTGCATACTACTGAACATACTGATCTCGGACTTACGTGCCCCGAAGTGCGGAACTTGCAAAGTTTCTACGTAATCCAATAAAGCACGCATGGACCATAGACAATAAAAATAAAAACAACTCTTGAATATTAATTAATTCATTTTGCAATAATAGGTCAGATTGTATATTCTGTCTGAATGTGTATCACGAGACCTCGGCCTTCACTAGTACTATTAAATTCCATGAATTCGTCTGTAGTTCTCTACTTAATTTTTTACGGTAGGCCCCTGGCATTGCTGACGTCCATAGGCGACGGTAACTACTCACCATCAGGTGGACCGTACGCTCGTTTGTCTACAAGGTCAATAAAAAAAAAAACTACGCTCTTCCGTCGAATTTATTTCTGCCCCCTATCTCTGATTCTCCCACCGTGTACTGATGATAATGTCACAATTTTGTTGAGATTTTCAAATGCTTTTTAGCCTCAGTACCTAGTTTTATATAATTAAATAAAATCTACAAATATTTATATTGCAGGATGAAGCGGACACGCCGCCAGCTAAGATGATGAAATTGTCACAGGAATGTGTAAGTTGAGAGTTGCCATTATATATAAGAAGGATTAGATTTGGGTTCAAGACTCTGGAGGACGCAGCTAGGGTCGGCCTCCCGTGAGGCGAACCGACGACTTGCTAAAGTCAAGGGAGCTCACTGGGTGAGGATCGCTCAGGACTGGTCATTGTGGGGTATTTATTGCCTAGTTATGTTGACGAGCCCACAGCCCACCTGGTGTTAAGTGGTTACTGGAACCCATAGACATCTACAACGTAAATGCGCCACCCACCTTGAGATATAAGTTCTAAGGTATCAAGTATAGTTACAACGGCTGCCCAACCCTTCAAACCGAAACGCATTACTGCTTCACGGCAGAAATAGGCGGGGTGGTGGTATCTACCCGTGCGGACTCACAAGAGGTCTTACCACCAGTGAAAAATGTATTATGTACTTGAAAAAAAAAAACCATTGATTGAATTTCATTTAATGAACTGATTTTTATTAAACAAAATGAACGTGAAATCTTGTTAATTACTCTCGCAATCAGATTAATCAGTAGTTGAAGAATTTGATGTACTCTCCTCTTGATGACACTCTCCTCACATACTTCAATAATAAATGATTCGACAACGTCCTCCATTGAGCCATCCTTTTGCTAGAAATATTCCTCTAATGCTAAGACATGTTTATTATGCTAGTGCTCGCCATTGCTTTTTCATCAAATGAAATAGCTATTTGTGCAAACAAAAAGACTTATAAGTGTAAGACTATTTATATTAGAAATCACACGTAATTAACACTGCTATCGCAAAATTAAAAACAACGAGTCGGTAAGCGTACTCTCACGTTAAGGTCAACACTAGTACTGGGAGAGTGCGGGGTATGAAGCGACGGTCGGGCGCGGTGCACGCCCGCCCGCTTCCTCAGCCACCGATTCCTCGGAGCTCGCGCGCGGAGTATACCCGTGCGGACTCACAAGAGGTCCTACCAGCAGTAATTACGCAAATTATAATTTTGCGAATTTGATTTTTATTACACGATGCTATTCCTTCACCGTGGAAGTCAATCGTGAACAAGTGTTAAGTACGTATTTCATTAGAAAAATTGGTACCCACCTGCGGGATTCGAACACCGGTACGTCACGATATCCGATATACGAATGCACCGGACGTCTTATCCTTTAGGCCACGACGACTTCAATCTGGTATCTGGGTGTTTGGGGTGGATGTGTGCACCGGAACGGTACACCTCGAGCTGGTCAGTTCATTCTGAAGGCAGATGGTATCTATCTATCGAATGTGGTCTTCTGAACCGCTGTGAGAGTAAGTGTAGCGTTTCCGGGAGACCTACGATGGAGCAACCGGAGAAATACTATGCCGGTATGACAATATTCCAATGACCTCAAGAATGTTCTCGGATGTTCTAGTCCTATCGAGAATGTTGCATAAATTTGTAAGCAAAATCGAAGCGGTTTTAAAAGCACGACATCGGCGACATGAAGGCAGCTCTATTCGCGGCGACGAGCGGATCACTCCAAATAAAGCGAAGGCGTCAATTGTGAGAGTGAAGTCTACCTTAATTGTCGTAGCAATTAAATTTAGTTTTAATCACATAGTATATCGCTGAAGAGTTTTTATGTATTTTGAGCCTCAGTTGGTAACTATACGGTACGAAATAAATGGTGTTCGCGTAACTGTCTCCAGTGGCTGTAGTCGTTTTGGTCACCATTCAACCGGGGGTCGCTCGTGAGATTGTCCAACCATCGATCTTAACAAAACCGACTAGAAAATTCTAAATTTCTGATGCATCGTAACTTATTTCAGAACGCAGAAGCTGGTTGTCGAGCAGTGGAAGACGCCCAGCGTCCAGGGTCGCTGGTGGAGGAGCAGCTGCAGCGGCTGCAGGCGGCGCTCTCCGAGAGGCTGAGCACGCAGCGAGCCCGCCGCATGACCAGGGACCCCTCCCCGGCTCATCCCCCGCGTCAGTCCCAACACTTATGTACCGACGGTTTTGACGACCCAAAATAATGTCTGTTTAATTTGGGCTCACAAGGCCAACACGATATGAACTTTTCGAGATAAATGCATTTAAATTGGGTTGTGAGACTGTGTTTAGTGTGAAATGCTTTACAATTAATTAAAATTAAAGAATAAAAAGTCAATGCCTCAATTCCTCAATGGTAATGGTGAATGATTTGAGAAAAGATGGTACTGTAAGTCCGTGTCGCGTGTAGATCGTTGACCCTCTGTTGTCTGGATGCAGCACCCGACACGGAGCCGGGGCCCGACTCGCAGCCCAGCACCGTGGGGTGGGACGACAGCGCGCCCGCACCCCCCGCCCCCACCGCCCCCGCCCTCCCCGCCGCCCCCACCAGGAAGTTCATGCTGTCCTCCAACGTCGATGTGAGTAGTCAGGCGGGACAGTGACCCCTACCACTAATTGAACACCAACACTAATTTCTATCCTGAATCTAATGTTTTTTTTTATTGCTCTGATGGGTGGATGAGCTCACAGCCCACCTAGTGTTAAGTGGTTACTAGAGCTCTTATGGCCGTTTTCACCGACAAGTTCCCAAAGTGGTCCTACGTAGGAAACACTTTAGACAGGAGATCACCTAAATCAACCACCTACCTAAATTCATTTTCACCATGCTTTGTGTTAAGTTTTAAGGAGTTTCTTAGTTAGGTGACGTTTTAGTGTTTTGATTTGAGTGCTTGAAATATCGACATTATATCGATAAAAATATGTGATCCACGATTACCTTTAAAATATCCATCAAATAAAAGAATAATAAATATTAATGACAATAAATCATAATTATACGTCTGTGGTATATAATTTAGTAAAAAAACCCAATCTGTTTGATAAATATGAAAAGGAATAACGCACTGAGGCTGTTAGTCCTGAATGTCAATGATTCAATTTTCAGTTTCAATTTAAAAGTTAATGTCAAACTCAAAACATCAAACAAAAGTGACGAAACTAAATTTGTCGATTTAATTCATTGAAATTTTTGAAAGTATCGGCAGATTGCCATTAATCTGGCAAATAATAATAATACATTAGTTATTCTTGATTATCATTTTGAAACCAAATTATGGCGGAAAAAAGAAAACGTGGCCAAAACTTTACGGCCGAAGAAAAAGATAAACTTGTGAAGTTATTGGCTTCCAACAAAGAAGTTATATTAAATAAAAAAACAGATGGCTGTACCAATGAGGCCAAAAATAGGGCCTGGTTAAATGTGACCGACGCATTTAACGCGACTACGACTGTTTACAGGTAAGTAAAAAGTTCAACAAATTTTGTATTTAATGATATAACGCTATAATCAGAATACTAAAAAAATAGTATCGTATTAATAACTACAAATATGAAAGTTGAAATAATAAAAATAATTTCAGGACTAAGGACTCATTGATGAAAGTGTGGGATAAGCTAAAAACTGAGAGCAAATTATATTATCAATCTGCTAAGCTGAGCATGACTAAAACTGGTGGTGGTCCTGGAGAAGTGAAAACTGGTCCTATTCTGGAGCAAGTCTGTACACTTCTCGGCCGAGCTTGCACAGGCATAATAGGCGTGCAAGACTGTGATGCTAATGTTTTGGATGTGGTGGAAAATGAATCACCAATAAAAGAGTCATTCGAGATGTGCACAGAAAATACTGCAACAGTAGAGGAGTTTGAGGCAGAAAAAGAAAATCAAATTCCAGTTGAAGTATGAATCATTAATCATTTTTTTGTGCCCCCATCACCAAATGTTCTGTGAAATTCTAAGTATGAATATATAAGATCTACTATTATTGTTCCAGAATTACAGTACAAATAATACACCACTGTGGTCAAGGAGACGACCACGATTATCAGTCAATAATGAGAGAACAGGGGCTATGTCCTCACTTTGTACAAGTTTTCAAAATGTGAACAAAAAGAAAGAGGATATAGAAGACCTAAAAAGACAACTTCTTCAGGAAGAATTAGAATATAAAAGAAAGTTTTATAAGTACTCATTAGAGGCAGCAGCAAAGGATGTCGAAATTAAGAATGAAGTCTTACATCAATTAAAATGTAATTTAAAATAATAATTTATTTTTACTTAACTAAAGATTACAGGTAAATGAGTAATAAAAAAACCTGACTGCAAATATTAACTTTCTTTTCTTTCAGTTGGTGTTAAAATAGTAGCAAGAGCTATAATGAACATTAATTTGGAATTGGCTATTTATTAGTTTCTATTTGATACCCATACAGCTATAATTAAAATTTACTCAAACACTCGTTCACTCCAAAAACATTACTTTTCATCTACAGGGTAAAAAAAGATTTTTAAATAATCATATATTTTAATTTCTGTTGGTAAGATTTCCAAAATATTGTGTCATATAATTTCTCTGAAATCCATAACTATGATCAGCTGCAATATTATGAGTAGGAGGAATTTGTCCATTTTGTATCAACTCTTCTAAATTTGGAATGCTGCCATCATTTATAGGATCTTGTTCCTTTCTTATAATGCATATATTGTGCAAGATACAGCAGGCCAATATCACGTGCACAGAAGTTGTCAGTTTTAACCTTAAACCTACAGCTAAAACAGGGAATCTTCTTTTTAAAACACCATACTGACGTTCAACAGTGTTCCTTGTTTTTATGTGAGCTTCATTATACTTTCTTTCTCCATGAGTTGAAGGGTTCAAGTATGGAGTCAAAAGATGACTCTGAAAGAAAATGTATTATTTTATTGTATTTATTTAATATAGTAATGAATGTACCTTTTTTACAGGTGGAAATATAAACATACCAACTGTGTTTGGATTGCATAAAGAAAACACAAAGTAAAATTGTGATTGCTAGATCCTTAATTATAAATATTATACTGGTTGTTGATTGGTCATTAGCTTTTTATTTTACAACATACCTAGCTGTATACGTATAAACATGCAATGTTTTCTGTATTACTTTTGTATGCAAACCTTACCTTCAAAGGATATCCACTGTCCCCTAAGAGATATGCAACATTGTAAGCTCCACTTTCAAACACACGGTGCCTTTGACTATTTTGGTATATGGTGGAGTCATGTGTTGAGCCTGGCCAGCGAGCAACAACATCTGTTATTAATAAGTTGGCATCACTTATAGTCTGCACATTAATAGACATATAGGACTTGCGATTCCTAAATATCTCTGCATCATCACCACCTAGTAATAAATACATGATAAGAATGTTGTAAGCAGATACCTACAAAATTTAGATCATATCTATCTCATTATTTTAAAGGTCCCTTTGTGGAGACTTCATTTGCAAAGTTTGGGTTCACTGATCAATTTGACCAGTACTAAAGGAAAAGTTTAAATTACCAGGTGATTGAATTTTCACATGCGTACAATCAATACAACCGAGTACGTTAGGAAATCTTGCTATTTTGTAAAACTGTCCTTTGACTGTGGAGATCTCTTCTTGCGAGTTTGGGAACCGTATGAATTCTTTTCGTAAGGTCACTATGGCATTTGCAACTCTTTTGATGATGCGACTACTAGTAGCCACACTAATTCCACACAAATCTCCAACAGTTAACAAAAAATTCCCAGTGGCAAAGTATCTTAGCGTGCATAAAAGCTGGGTCAAAGGTGTCACTGACTGATTTCTGAAACAAGGAACAGTTTATTAATATAGAAATGGTCAAAAGTATACTGTTAATATATTATATTTACAACAAAATACGGTAAGTATACAAATGTATTTATGTAATGTCATTGAGTATACATAAGTGGAAAATAATTAAATTATACACTTACCTATTATCCTTATATTCTAGCAGATGTTCAATTTTTTCTAATAAAAATAGCACAGTTTCTTTCGATAGCCTATACCTAAAGACAAAGTCTTTGTCATCGTATTTTTCGAAATCTTCAGTTCTTTGACGATACAAGCGTGGCCTTCTAAATACAGAATTACTAGAAACTAACTGTAAAGACTCAACTGCTTCCAAACTTTCTAAAAATAGAGTTAAATCATCGTCCATTGTAGAAATCGTTTTCAAACCTTTTGAATGTTAGTATTGAAAAAGATGACAGCAGACATAAAACTGTCTTCTAGTGTTAGGAGACAGTTAAGGAACGAAAAATCGGGTTCCTAAATTTAGGGAGCCTTTTAAGAACTTAGGAGATACCTAAAGGTTGGTGAAAACGAATTTTGAATTAGGGGCTCCTTAAATGCAGTTAAGGGATCCCTAAATGTCGGTGAAAATGGCCATTAGACATCTACAACGTAAATGCGCCACTCACCTTGACATATAAGTTCTAAGGTCTCAGTATAGTTACAACGGCTGCCCCGCCCTTCAAACCGAAACGCATTACTGCTTCACGACAGAAATAGGCGGGGCGGTGGTACCTACCCGCGCGGACCCACAAGAGGTCCTACCATAGAGGACCTACCTACATAAGAAATTTAATATTGATTTCCTTCTCGAACAAGAACGTAATCCACTAATAATCGATCGAGTGCTATTCGAGTCGATAATCGATCCGAGCTAATATCGATATTTTCAAAACTACGATTGTGAATGTGAACAGAACTCAACTACGTTTCTGTCGACGGAACACCGCCAACGCCCTGGCCTCGACGCATCTCCCGTTCTATTTGGTCTATTTAGTGATAGACGAAATAGAAAAAATCACACTACTTCACTCCTCGCGTTCCTGCCAAAAAGTCCAAAAAAATTCCAAAGTACGAAATAAATTTGTTTTTGTGTTTTTCTTCCTATTCGTACACTCCTGACAGAGTGGTCGTGGTCATGCATCAGTCAGATCCTGCGATACCGATGCTCTCGCGATGCGACGCCATGTGGCACGATGTTTCGCAGAGTGAGAGCAATCATTTATGTTGGAGTGAGTCACAGATTTTATGAGGTTTTTGTATATATGTTGCACACAAATTCCAGAATCGGGAGGAGATAATGTCGATGATCGAGCAGCTGGGCGGCGAGGTCTGTGACGGGGTGGAGCCGGCGCCGGACGCGACGCACCTGCTGTGCGCGGCGCCGGGCCGCAGCGAGAAGATGCTGGGCTCCATCGCCGCCGGCCGCTGGGTGCTGCACCCGCGCTACGTGCCCTGCAGCCGCGACGCCGGCGCCTTCCTGCCGGTCACTGCTGTTCTCTTACAACATCATCATTTCACATCACTAGAATTGTCGTGGCCTAAAGGATAAGATGTCCGGTACATTCGTATGTAGCGATGCACCGGTGTTCGAATCCCGCAGGCGTGTATGAATTTTTCGAATGAAATACGTACTTAACAAATGTTCACGATTGACTTCCACGGTGAAGGAATAACATCGTGTAATAAAAATCAAACCCGAAAAATTATAATTTGCGTAATCACTGGTGGTAGGACCTCTTGTGAGTCCGCACGGGTAGGTACCACCACCCCGCCTATTTCTGCCGTGAAGCAGTAATGCGTTTCAGTTTGAAGGGTGGGACAGTCGTTGTAACTGTACTGAGACCTTAAAATTTATTTTATCCGTTAGTAGAACTTACAGATGTCACACTGTATGTAATCTCCCTTAAACCGGAAAGCTTGAAGCTTACTAATTACGACAATTTATAAGCTATGCAAATTTCATTTTCATCTCAATTTATCCTTCCAATGAATAAGTAACTATGGTTATTATTATAACGGATCCCGTACATGTTGTATTGCAGGAGGAGGAGTTCGAGTGGGGCAGCCCGCTGGCGTCGCGGCTGGCGGGCGCGGGCGGCGGCGAGCGCGTGCTGTCCCGCGCGGCGCACCGCTGGCGGCGGGCGCGCGCGTGCGGCGCGGCGGGTGCGTTCGCGGGGCTGCGGGCGCTGCTGCACGTGCCGCCCGCGCGCCGCCGCCTGCTGGCCAGGCTCGTCACCGCCGGCGACGGACACGCGCCCGACCTCGAGTGAGCACGCCCCCTACCGCTTTAATAACTCTTTTTTGAAGTGAAACTCCTTTAGAATCGTTGCGATTTCAAACTCGACGAAACGAAAAAATAAGTCCATAGAGACTCAAACACATAAATGTATAGGATTCAGCCGGCGTGAGAATGAGATAGGACATAGACGTTCTTAGTGTAGTGTTTTTTTAATACAGCGCCATCTATGAGATTTTTTAATACTAACGTGTGTATGAAACCTTGCAGTGAATTTTAATTTAGGATTATACGTGAAGTTAAAATATCAATTCACAGAGGGCGCTACCTCATACTATAAAAGAAGATTTACAATTATTTACTACTGACAAAATTTTACATATACTTAGACATTTAGGATAATTGTATTTTAATTTTTGAAGATTTCATTTCTACAACGTGTGAATTGCGCACATGTTTTTTTTATTTATTGCTTCGGTGGGTGAATGAGTTCACAGCCCACCTGGTGTTAAATGGTAATTGGAGCCCATAGACATCTACAACGTAAATGCGCCACCTACCTTGAGATGTAAGTTCTAAGGCCTCAATTTGATGTTAAAATTAATCAAATGCAAATGTTAATAGCGGAGCACCCAGTGCATGTTTATCTCGAACTCAACCGAATGAAAAACATTTTGCGAGTAGGTATCGTCGAATCTATACTAATATATAAATCTACAGTGGTTTTTACAGATGTTCCGTTATAACTACTGAACCATGCATCCGATTGGCTTGAAACTTGGTATCCATGTAGAAAAAACATGTACATAATGGATAGGCTAATATTTATATAAGTGTTGGACTCCCTACACCAGTTGCGGGGGCGTTAATGTTGAGAATCTTTGTGAGGGTGACAAATAATAATGTTAGTTTTAAATGCCCAGCGAAGCGAACGGGTACAGCTAGTATTATATATAGTGCGATGCTCCAGCTCAGGGCCGCTACACGCTGTACTTCTCGAATGTTCTAGATGCCACTAGGTCCTTCGATATTCGTTCGACGATAGATGGCGTTACTCATGTTCGCTTGTATCCCCAGGCCGCCCTACTCGGACGAGAGCATCAACGTGTGCTTCGCGGACGTGAAGCGCTACCCGCTGTCGGCGCGCGACGCGCAGTGGCTGGTGTCGCGCCGCATCCCGGTCTGCGCGCCCGTACTCCTGAGCGCATACCTAACGGACGAGGTCCCGCCGAACCCGCACGAACACTGTCTACCCGAATTTAGACCTTAACCCCATACTAATAAGAATTAAATTTGTAAATAAATATACTTCAACATTTTAATTATTTTTTTATTGCTTAAATGGGTGAACCAGCTTACGGCCTACCTGGTGTTACAGGAGCCCATAGACATCTACAACGTAAATAGCGCCACCCACCTTGAGACATGAGTTCTAAGGTCTCCGTTTTAACAGTACAACGGCTGCCCCGTCCTTCAAACTGCTTCACGGCAGAAATAGGCAGGGCGGTGGTACCTATCGGTGCGAACTCACCTCCTTGGAGGCTCAATCCTCCTCGGCCTTTACCCCCAGAAGTATATCCATAGCAACTTCCATAGGTAAAAACTTTTTCTATGGTGTTTTTTCCTTTCATACGTTTTTCGTTTTATGATTTTCATTTTATTTTAATTTTAGATTTTTAAATAACAATAAGATAAAGCTATCACGTTTTATTCGTTTACTAAGGGCTTATCATCGGATTTCAATTGTAATAAATAAAAGTATAAGTTTTATTTCAACATTAACCTCTATACATATCGCCGCGCATATCAACTAGAATTCAACCTGATTGAGTAGTCACCGTCAGGCCTCAGGGGAATTTGAAAAAGCACATGCCTTAACCTCTTTCTAGAGCCGGGTGGAATGTGCTTTGCCCCTTCTTGAATTAATAATTGTAAAATGATAAAGCGAATCTATATTTAAAGAACATTTAATATTTTACAATCATTCAATTAATAGAACCTTTCATTTTATTCTTCGCCTATTAAAAATCTTTTCAAAGGCTATGTAAAGATTATATAATTTTATTTAATCACATGTTTTAAATACGCTATAAAACTAAATAAAATTTAACAAAATTAATTGCAATCTAATATCTATATAAACTACAACTACATAAGCGGTAGACATGATGGATAAAATTCGCACAGGACTAAAAACACTTTTGGTTTTTTGACGTGAGACATCTGTTGGCGCGCCTTGGCACTAACAATTTGGAGTCGCTTTCTCGTGCCACTGTGCCCCCCATACTCCCCCCACGCCACCGTGTCCTCCGACGCCACCATGCCCCCCTACCATGCCATACCATGCGTCCGTGGGTGTTCTAGATACTCCATTACTTATCTGTGCGAGTCTTGTACTGCGTATGCGTTTTTATTTCGTGCTCACTGCTCGTATGCGCACTGTGTATTTCTTTTAGCATTATTTCCTAATTACTTTACTCCTTATATATATGTTTAACGGTTGTCATTAATTATAGACTCTACTGCTAAATTCTAGCAACTTGGATGTTTCACATCTGCCGGGCTTTATGTGACGGTGAACTGTTTTTTTTTTATAAATACAATATTTTATGATCATTGGTAACGTAAATAAGAGTTGAATGTTATCGAATAACGGTTCTCCTTAGAATGTCTATTGGAATGCCCTCAAATACTGGTGGTAGGACCTGTTGTGAGTCCGCGCGGGTAGGTACCACCGCCCTGCCTATTTCTGCCGTGAAGCAGTAATGCGCTTCGGTTTGAAGGGTGGGGCAGCCGTTGTAACTATACTGAGACCTTAGTACTTATACCTCAAGGTGGGTGGCGCATTTACGTTGTAGATGTCTATGGGCTCCAGTAACCACTTAACACCAGGTGGGTTGTGAGCTCGTCCAACCATCTAAGCAACAAAAAAAAAAAAAATTCAGGTGGTTCAAGTTATATTAAATTTGACACTTCTTTCTTCAACCCGTGTCCATCCAATGCTGAGTAGGCCTCTTCATATGCACTCAATTCACTTCGGTCTCTTGCCTTTCGCATCCATTCCCCACCAGCTATTTTGACCAGGTCGTCGGTTAACCTAATTGGTTATCTGCCCGTTTCACGAACGAATGAAAATGGTATTGGTGTTATCTTAACATGAAAAAACAAACTGGTGTCAACTTTTGTTAATATGTGTTTACGGCGCACGCGACACGAAAATTGACGCGCGGGTCAACGACCCTGTCTTGTAGACCACGTGATAATGTGCGGTTTATACCGGTCACTCACATTCGCACGAATACGCAAACCCACAAGTGTAGGACGACATTTGCAAATGATTATGCAAAGTTTTCGCTGCATTCGTGGTTTTCCAAGCTGTGTCGGTTTTTAAAGGACATCAAAGCGCGCGAACCGCGATCCTTCGCGTAGTCTCCCACACATTCGTGTGACCAGTTGTGTCCACGATTGCGAAGGTAACGGACGTATCGCCATTTTCATAGTTCGTGACGTCTACTGTGTAGCGTACCTTCATCATGGATTGGCACAACACCAAGGTAATGGAGTTCATTGAACTCCTGCAAAATGAATCGACCATATGGGACCCTCAAAAGAAATCCCATAAAAACAGAATGGCCGTTAATCACGCCTGGGAATGAATTAAAAACTCTTTTTCCCTTCAATGTTCTATTGACGAATTAAAAAAGAAGATAAATTTGTGAAACATTCGTAAACAAGTGTAGGAGGAAGCGCAAACGGGTTCGGAAATTGAATACCGAACCCATCTGCACAGCCACTAAGTTTGCGAATGAATGTCTGACAGCCCTTTGTACGAATGTTTGCGCGCATGTGAGTGGCCGGCATTAGATTACAGCAAGTGCGTAATTGTTGAACATTGAGCTAATGATTTAAGCCTCTCTAATCACGTATATTAAGGTTCGCTTACACTCTGCATTAGAAATGCGCGAAATGCTTTTGCAATAAATACGAAGCAAACTTTAAATTTAAATAAGTAAAAATCACATTTCAATTTGTCGAACCATAGCAGACGTATATACATCATCATCATTCTCTTGTCCTTCTCCCAGTCAACTGGGGTCGGCGCAACATGTTTTCTCCTTCCATACTCCTCTATCATACCATTTCTTCGCTCACTCCCCTCTTACACATATCGTCTTTCACGCAATTGATCCATTTCTTCTTAGGTCTACCTCTTCCTCTATGTCCTTCCACATTCATAGTTAACACTCTGTTACCGACCACATTTTCACTTCTCATCACATGTCTATACCATCCCAAACGCGCACTTCTCAACTTCTGTCACAGATGCTACTTTCAGACTTCCTCTAACATACATGTAACCCTAATTCTATCCATTCTCGTTACTCCACACATCCATCGCAACATTCGCACCTCTGCTGCATGCAATCGCCTTTCATCCGTCATTTTAGTCGTCCGACAAGCTGATCCATACAAGACGTCCAAGTCATCCACGTTGTTGTTTAAAACGAATTCAAAAGTCATATTTCTTAACCATAAGCTTGATTAAACGCGTGTCATCTTTGGAGTAGTTCAAGCCGATTTCAGCTAGTTCACTCAAAGGGAATTCAAATGTTGTGACAAAACCGCAGCTTTCAGCGCATTTCTGTGACGCTATACCGGTGAACACGGTGGCTGTGGCCTTAATCCCTTGGGTGTAGCATAAGGGCTCCCTGAAAGAAATTGTCTGTTTATAAAACCAATAAATTTTTTGGAACGAAGTTCCTTATGGGACGATGCGGAGGGGTACCCTAACCGGGAAAAAACGTCCGTAACGTAAGATTTTTATTAGTAATGCACACAGTGTACGACTTAACTTTGTAATAGCGTACAAAAAGGGTGCGTGTACTTATGTACACGCGTAAGAAATCATACTTTATTTTTATTAAATTTATTTCTTATTTTTTTTAATCAATTTGAAAAAAAATCGATTAAACAACATCCTCAAACACGCATGTTGGACATTTCTTTTACGGTTCGGAAAGTTCACCTCCGGCTATATTCAGACTCGCCAAGTTACGTCGGTCGTATTGTAATGAGCGATTTAGTGGGCAACTTCATTCTGTTAATTTTGTGTCACGGTGCGCGCGCATCGTAAAACTTCACTATCATAAATTTTTTATAACGCGCCTAAAGAAGTATAACTTCAAAAATAACATATTTTTTTATCATTCATTGACCACGATCTCAGAGCGTTCGTTTGCGCAATACGCTAACTCTTATGCAAACAACCGTGTATGAAGTGCACCACAATAAGTTCGCATGTTACCGAATGACCGTGGGTTGTTGCGAAACCTCCAGTTTTATTTTATTTATACCTCGAATAGAACTTAAAATTAATACTTTTATAATAAGGAACTTCGTTCCTATCCGGTGTCCCACGACACCACACAATTTTTTTTTCTGAAAATTTTATGGTTATATTTTAAGATAACACTTGAAAATATCAGGTTTTACGTACTGTGTATCTTAATGTGGCCTTTGACGATAATTGGTATAATCTATACTAATCTATACTAATATATAAATCTACAGTAGTTTTTACGGATGTTCCGTTATAACTACTGAACCATGCATCCGATTGACTTGAAACTTTGTATCCATGTAGAAAATACATGTACTTAATGGATAGGCTAATATTTATACGAGTGTTGGACTACCTAATAATAATGACAATAAATAATAATGTTAATTTTGAATGCCCAGCGAAGCGGGCGAGTACGGCTTGTATTTTATAAAGGTGTGTACTTAGATAAAGAATCGAGAACAAAACGCAAATATCATTTTGCATGCATCATAAACTGATTTAGTCGTGTTGATACTTTGATAAACGAACGCTGAGATGAAGGGAATTTAAACTCAAGTATTGCTATAATAATTATATTTTAAGTAAACAAAAATAAAACAAGAGGCACGTTATTTTGTCTTTTAATAACTTTTAACCGAGGTTACGACATGTCCTTCTTCAAACGAGGCTTCTGAAGAGTATTAAACGGTAGGCAGCGGCTTGGCTCTGCCCCTGGCTTTACTGACGTCCATGAGCGACGGTAACCACTCGCCATCAGGTGGGCCGTATGCTCGTCTGCCTATACGGCAATAAAAAACCGTTATAGTCATAATCACCCGTAGGAAGTCCACTGCTGGATGTAGGACATAGACGCTCCCTAAGATTTGTAGCAATAACCGATCGTGTGCTTGTGTGATACGCGCATCTAGCGGCCTTCGGCGACCTTCGCAATGTCGTTCGTCCATCTTGCAAAACATGCAATAGCATGCATAAAACTGTGACGCAACAAATCCGGTTCCGTAACAATACCATCGAGCTACACTCATGATGTTATACAATTTAACTAGCCTTCTACATGCTATTGTGTTGTCGTAATGTTACCGCCAAGCCTGTACTACTAATTTGTTTTGTTCTTAATAGTCAGTGACTGGTTTGACTGATTTGCCGACGTAACATGTTATTATACTATTTTTCAAGTTCAAATTAGAACCGAGACGGCAGTAGACGTTCATGATTGAAAACCGCTTTTGATTTCGAATATTCATTCATATTCTAACTTAGCAACGCATTTGGTATGGTCACGTACGGTCGGTGAATTTACACCAGGGGCAGTCGGGGCAAGTGCCCAGGGCGGCAAATTTTTAGGGCGGCAAATTTTTTTTTCTTATGTAATTAATTAATTCTATAATTAATAATTTTCTGTTTAATTGATAATTCAAGAAATTCAATTCATCCATTATTTGTGAATCATAATCCATTATTTCAATTCATCCATTATTTTGGCACTTTTCGTAAAATTAATAATCACAATGTTTTAATCAATTAATTTCCTTAGAGATTTAAAATAATAATCGATTTTTTTTTAATAGAATTAAAGAAATTGAATTTTTGAAGTGAAACTTCCTTATCGGCGTTGGAAAAAAATTTACCGTCACATTTTTCGGTTACGCGTCACTTTTTTCCGTTACGCGCCATCTGTTTTGTATTCATGTCTATGATAATAAAATCCTTTTGTTTAAACTTTATCTAATTTAACTTTTTGAAGTGAAACTTCCTTATCGGCGTTGGAAAAAAATTTACCGTCACATTTTTCGGTTACGCGTCACTTTTTTCCGTTACGCGCCATCTGTTTTGTATTCATGTCTATGATAATAAAATCCTTTTGTTTAAACTTTATCTAATTTAACTTTATTTAACCAATTTCTAGAAAGTTGCATGTAGATCATTTTTCGAAAAATAAGGCCATAAATAAGTTTCACTTCTTACGTGTGTACACTAGTACACGCACACATTTTTTTTTATTGCTTACGAGCGACGAGCTCACAGCCCACCTGGTGTTAAGTGGTTACTGGAGCCCATGGACATCTACAACGTAAATGCGCCACCCACCTTGAGATATAAGTTCTAAGATCTCAGTATAGTTACAACGGCTGCCCCACCCTTCAAACCGAAACGCATTACTGCTTCACGGCAGAAATAGGCAGGGCGGTGGTACCTACCCGCGCGGACTCACAAGCGGTCCTACCACCAGTATATACAACTTACAGTTTCTAGTAAAGTTGAAAAAGAAAATATATAAATTAAAAGTTTAAGTAAAATTGGGGCGGATTTTTTTCCGGTGCCCAGGAGCGGCAGTTAAGTTTAAATCCGGCCCTGCGTACGGTTTTCAACTAGGGGTTTTGAAATAGCAATTTTGAAAATTCGCTGTGTAGGTGCATACATGATATCTCCTTTATGAGCTCCTGATACGCTCCGACACAAGTTGACTTCAGTTTTTTTTTTTTTATTGCTGTTATTGGTGGACGAGCTCTCTGCCCTCCTGGTGTAAAGTAGTTACTGGAGCCCATAGACATCCACAACGTAAATGCGCTACCCACCTTGAGATATAAGTTCTAAGGTCTCAAGTATAGTTACAACAATACAACGGCTGCCTCACCCTTCAAACCGAAACGTATTACTGCTTCACGGTAGAAATAGGCAGGGCGGTGGTACCCACCCGCGTGGACTCACAAGAGGTCCTACCACCAGTAGTTGCAGTTAATATACCATACCTTGCCGCTATAATCTTGCTTCCGAGTTTTGCTCCCCTATAATTCCTGGAGACCACCAAGCCCATGCCCTCCAAGACTTTGTCAGTACCGAGATATTCAAATACATCGAATTTCGACACAGCGTAATCCAAAACATCATACACGTTCTTCCATGCCTTGCCAACGATCTGTAATGCAAATTGGAGTTAAACTTGTTTGTATGTTGTCAATGATCCCATTCCCATGAATCGCTTGGAACACCAAATTATTTGAGATGATCCCATCATCTCATTTCTACCACGTGCCATCCAGATTTGTAATGTCTCGGCGTATCCCGAGCGCCATAACATGCCCTACTTCGAACTAGGCTTGTGGAGAGCACAAGCATAGGTAGAGTATAGGCAGCGGATGGGCTCTCCACCTGGTATTGCTGACGACTACGAACAACGGTAACTACTCACTGACAGATGAGCTATATGCTCATCTGCCTACAAGGGCAATAAAAAGTCCCGGCTACATGTGACAAATAGGCAAAACCACAGCCGAGTGGCTGACTGAGCTTTGCGGACTAATATTCGTCCACAAATTCATTCCCCGATTTTATTATTATTTATTGCTTAGATGGATATACGAACTTACGGCCCACCCGGTGTTAAGTGGTCACTGGAGCCCATAGACAGCAACAACGTAAATGCCGCCAACCACTTTGAGACATGAGTCATGAGTCTCAGTTTCTACAGTTTAATGGCTGCCCCACCTCTCAACCTGAAACACATTACTGCTTCTCGGTAGAAATAGGCAGGGCGATGGTACCTACTCGTGCGGGCTCACAAGAGGTCCTACCGCCAGTAACTAAAACTAAAGCCCTATAAATAATTCCTAAATATAGGCAATGGCTTGGTAATGTCTGTGATATCGTCGGCTGTGGCTTGCAACTGGTATGTCCTCATTGGTACCAAAAAACAAAACCGAGGATTCTTAAAGCCGCACTTAAATAAGGAACGTGTCAATATTGAGGAAAATAAAATGTTATTAGCTGAGCGGTAAGTGACCTTCACACCTCACAATCAATATCCTCTCCTTTACAAGACACAAAGCAACAGTTCAATGCGACCAGTTTCTTGTTTCCATTGGTTGACGCATAACATCCAAGACTCATTCTCTTGCCAAGGAAAATTCTCCAGAATTCACTTATACCCCGAACGCTTTCCGGATCATTCAGCAAATCTAGGAAGAAAATTACTTAGTACTTAGAACTTAGTTCAAACGCGGTTTTATATTAAGAGACTAGCTTTTGCCCGCAACTTCGTCCGCGTGGAATAGTTTACAAATAATGCTTTATTTTGGAACAAATTTGCTTAGCATAAAAAACGTTACAGTGAGCCAACCTTAACATATAGACATATGCTGTCACGGACTTTTTTTTAGATCTTTTAAAGAGGAACAATTCTGGCCTACATTATTTTGGCGAAGCTTTAACCTTTCTGCAGCGCACGCAGCGGAAGCTCTCTAAAGGGAAAATCACTCGATTTTGAAGCATTATTTATTGGTGCTCCGCTTGTATTGGTCTTAGCGTGATGTTTTATAACTATAACCTATAGACTTCCTCGATAAATGGGCTATCTAGCACTGAAAGAATTTTTCAAATAGGACCAGTAGTTCCTGAGTATAGCGCGTTCAAGCAAACAAACTCTTCAGCTTTATAATATTAATATGATATAATTATTATATTATATTAAGAGATTTAGTGTTTCCATAGCTGCTGTCGCCAATAGTTCTACTGAGTTAGTCGAGCAGACAAACTTAATGCCGTCATGATGCGCAGCCGTGAGCTGAATTTATATAGAATGTACACGCGGTCGCCACCAATCCAAAGACATGATCTCGAAGCCTCAATTGCGTCTGAGTAGCGCTTACCATATCCAACTTTTAGGACATTTGAGTTGTTTGTCCAGCAAATCGGTAGGATGGTGGTACCGGTTTCGCTAAAACAACCTTTTAAGTATTCTGATCAGTTTTGATAGTGACAACGACGTCGGCCACTAAGGCCATTGTAATATTTTTGTTAGTTGAAAGTGGCTCTTGATGGCGAAACATTTGCACAGAGGAATGCAAGTTGTGTATGTTTCAAAACATGACCGCTACTACTGTTATAGCGTTTTTTTAATGTTACCGCGTTTAGCAAACAATTGGATATGTTGTGTGTTTTTTTTTGCCATGGTAAGCAGACAAGCATACGACCTATCTGATGATAAACGGGCACCATCGCTCATGGACGTTAGCAATGTTAGGGGCACACCCAAGTCGCTGCCAACGTTTAGTCCTACAAAAGTCTGGATTGATGTAGACCGGTCAGATCTGGTATTAACTGGTTACTGGCGGCACTCACATGAGATCATGTCTCCATTGTATTGTATACAGGCTGGCTTGCCCCTCAACCGGCGCACACGACTACTTCAGTACAGAAATAGGCACGATTGTTGTTCCTACCCGTGTCGTCCGGCAACACGACCCATCATCTGTACTATATAATATTATAAAGAGGAAAGATTTGTTTGTTTGTTTGTTTGTATTGAATAGGCTCCGAAACTACTGAGCCGATTTGAAAAATGCTTTCACTGTTTGGAAGCTACACTATTCCCGAGTAACATAGGCTACAATATGTTTTGAAAAAATTAGGGATCCTTACTAAAACTCCAATAATGTAACCCAAGGTGTAAAAATATTACCTAAAATATTCTTTACATCGCGTGCTCTACGAAAACTATTGATGATAGAATAAAATAATGTACTACGACTTTGTAGAACACATTATTACTTACAAAAAGTGTCGCGACAGCATATATCTAACTATTATAGCTGTGCCACAATAAGTGTTCTTTTATTTAAAAAAATAAAACCACGTCAAATATCATTGATATATTTGTTAAAGACCCGAGCGGAGCCGGAGCGGGCCGCTAGTCAGTAATAAAGTTAATCAAAAAATATCTTCATGATGAATTATCTATATATTAATACGTGAAGCAAAAACTTTGAGCCCTTTTTACGAAAATTGCGAGGACTGAGGAGTATGAAATTTCCCACACTTATAGAGAATAGAGAGGAGTGCAGAATGTTAATATTTTTTTTAATTATACACAAAAAATACATTAAATGAATAAATACATAAACATTACACACACTACCATGTATTTGACAGAACACGCATGCAAACTATTTGTTTATTGTCAAACTTTTCTTATTGCTTATAGTGTATGTGGTCTATGAGGTCAAATTGAGAATAGATTAAATATTGTTTGTCTTCTATACTAATATTATAAAGAGGAAAGATTTGTTTGTTTGTTTGTTTCGAATAGGCTCCGAAACTACTGGACCGATTTGAAAAATTCTTTTTCCATTAGAAGCCGACATTGTCCCTGATGAACATAGGCTACTTTTTTTAATTTTTTTTAATTTTTTTTTTTTGGTTTCATGTGTGTTTTAATGTTTCCGAAGCGAAGCGAGGGCGGGTCGCTAGTTATTAATATTTGTATAAAGTGTAGGTAGTCTTGACAAAATCTGTGATTATAGAAGTGTAAGTCTTTGACAATAGAATCATAATAGTGTACAAACTTATAATTTCAATTAATTATACTCGAATCTCGACTGCCCGGGGACGACTAGTTTGTAAATATAATTTGTAAATGTCGTAATGACGGATTACAATACGAGCTTATTATACTTTATAACTTTACCGCTTGTTTTACACAAGGTCTCATCGGCGCACAGATGGTCTACTAGTATCTTGATGGCTTCTTCATCATCTTCCGGCGGCAGATCCTGGATCACCCATTCGACATAACCATCTTTCCATTTGCTGTATACACTGGGATATTCTTCGGGGAATACTCGTTCGAATTTCATAGCTGTTGAAGAATTATCATATTGATAGAATAATTGCTTTTTTTTTTGGAACGATTTTCCTTATGGGTCGGTGCGGAGGGGTACCCTAACAGGGAAAACACGTCCGTAACGTAAGATTTTTATTATTTATGTACAGTCGTAGTATGAGGGCTATACAGTGTCTAATGTATAGTCTACGTGATGACGGTTATTATTATTATTCATATAAATAGCTGTTTCTTTGTATATTATTATTACCTATTTTTTATAAATCATTGTGATTAAAATAAAGTTGATAACTTTGTAAAGTAGTTTTTTTTTATCAATAAAAAATCATAATTAAAAATGAATACCGGAATAATTATTTTCTTTATTCCTCGAATAGAACCTAAAATTCATTTTTATATAATAAGGAACTTCGTTCCCATCCGGTGTCCCACGACATCACACATCATTTTTTTAATTAGTTTACGATACGCCTTGAGTTCAGCGGTTACCGGAAACTTGCCGTCCACATTGATGTATGGAATCAAACTCCTCCGTTCTGATCCTATCCTTCAAACCGGCACGCACGACAGCTTCGCAGCAAAAACAGGTAGAAACTCTACGCTGAGACAGATCCTAGCTAACAATTTGGCATGCGAAATGTAAAAATAATTCCATATTTTTGATGTAAATGTAAAAATGAAAATGTAGAGTGAATCGTGGACGAGAGCGTTGTACAGGCTTTTTTTAATGCCTTTGTAGGCAGACGAGCATACGGCCCACCTGATGGTGAGTGCTTACCGTCGCCCATGGACTTCAGCAATGCCAAGGGCAGAGCCAAGCCGCTGCCTACCGCAAATTTGGTTTTTTACGACCGGAGTTAGGTAATAGTTATGAGATCTAAAGTTTTTTGTTCCATATTCAAGGTTCTGAAGTTAGGATACGTAATGAGGCTAACACAAGTGCATTTAGAACAACTTGTATATAAATAATAATAATAATAATAAAATAAACATTAATGTTGACTGAGATTCGAACCTTTAGTTATGGTTATCGATAGCAATAAAATGGAATCGAGACGCATGGCGTATCTACATAGAATACCAAATTCGATCATAATTGCGTAGATCTCAATATTTAGATTAAATTAATTTTACACATTTTCTCTTTTAGATGAAAACTATTTCCCAAAAAATTTAATAGCATTTACAACTCTTCAATATCAAAGGACAAAAGTTGATCAAACTTTTTTTTTTGTCGTTTAACCTGTAGGATTACATTACGCTTTTAATAGTTGATTATTAAACCATATAGGTATAGAGTTTTAAGCAAATACAAAAACTATTTGAATAACATTCATTACTTACACTCTGATGTCATGACTGGATGCCGATATACAAGTTGTGGTGTCTATGGAGAAGCTCACCCATCCAGTCCAAAAAAAAACCACGTCAGAAGTATAATCTTGGTTCTACTTTCTACGGTAATTGCTGTTAACGATACGAATTGTATCTTCTTTCGTCTTTTTTAGTCTCTTTACGTCGTCGTGGCCTAAGCGATAAGACATCCGGTGCATTCGTGTTGAAGCGATGCACCGGTGTTCGAATCACAGGCGGGTACCAATTTTTCTAATGAATTACGTACTCGACAAATGTTCACGATTGACTTCCACGGTGAAGGAATAACATCGTGTAATAAAAATCAAACCCGCAAAATTGTAATTTGCGTAATTACTGGTGGTAGGACCTCTTGTAAGTCCGCGCGGATAGGTACCACCACCCTGCCTATTTCTGCCGTGAAGCAGTAATGCGTTTCGGTTTGAAGGGTGGGGCAGCCGTTGTAACTATACTGAGACCCTTAGAACTTATATCTCAAGGTGGGTGGCGCATTTACGTTGTAGATGTCTATGGGCTCCAGTAACCACTTAACACCAGGTGGGCTGTGAGCTCGTCCACNCCGCGCGGATAGGTACCACCACCCTGCCTATTTCTGCCGTGAAGCAGTAATGCGTTTCGGTTTGAAGGGTGGGGCAGCCGTTGTAACTATACTGAGACCCTTAGAACTTATATCTCAAGGTGGGTGGCGCATTTACGTTGTAGATGTCTATGGGCTCCAGTAACCACTTAACACCAGGTGGGCTGTGAGCTCGTCCACCCATCTAAGTATTAAAAAAAAAAACTTTTTTTTTCTCCTACCTATGCCGCTCACGGGGCTCAAACCGGGAGTGTTGCTAACACTGGCCCTAGCAAGAGCAGTGCTTCGCAGAATCTATCACTGGATCGGAAACGCGACCCACTGAGAAGATCCGGCGAGAAACTCAGTGGGTTGTGTCTATGGGTTAATTCACTCGTCGAGCCCTTCGTCGCAAGCGACGAGTTAAACGAAATTTGTGAGTTATTTGATACTTATATGTACGTGTTACTTGAAACTTGGTTACAAGAGCTCACAGGATGCTATGAATGCATTAACATAGTATATTTTAGGAGAGGATCCTCTACATGTATCTCGCTCAATTCTCAGTGAAAATAAAAAATAAACTTACCGATTTTTAACAAACGCGAATAAACAAACACACGACAGTATTCAACGCGAGCAAATAACTGACTGATTCTAATTTTAAACGTCTCGATCACTAGAGAATTTCTAGAATAAAATTTAACAGTGCTTTAAACTATTTGACAACACTTGTTTACGCTAGAACAAGAATTCGGTTTTGTTTATTGTTATAGATGTGAGGACGAGCTCACGACCCACCCGATTTTAAGTGTAGCGAAGCATAGACTGCACAGACTTAATGTTAATGTTGTGATGTCTACAGAGACAACACGCGATGTCTCGCCATGAAACGAAACCAATAATTACAACACTTGTCTTGATGATGCATGTGACTAGGAGATGTATGGAAATGGTAGTGCAAGCTAGAGAGGGAAGAGGTCGACCGAAGAAGACATGGATGGTATGTGTGAATGACGATATGAGAGAGAGAGAGGAGTGAGTGTTGAGATGACGGCTGATAGAAGAGAATGGAAGAGAAAAAATAGTTGTACCGACCCAGCCTAGTGGGATAAGGTGGAGAAAAAGAAGAAGACTTGTCTACATTCACGATTATAGTTTTTGTGAAATAGTTTTGTTGATAGAAACCGAAACCAGCAAAATTACAAAACGTAATTATTGGTTATATTGTGCAAAGTAGTCTTAACATCCTATCTAACTTCCGTAACTAACGTTCCCAGCTGCTCCATCCGGCTTTGGATGACATTTCCTCCTTCAAACGAGCTTAAAAGAGAGTACTTAACGGTAGGCAGTAACTTGAATGAGCTCCCGGTATTGCTGACGTCCATGAGCCAATGACGCTGACCACTCACCATCAGGTGAGCCGCACACTCGTCTGTCTACAAAGGTAATAAAAAAAAACAAATGTCCCTTAACAACAGCGTTATCATTTTTACACAGAGCAATCTTATTATACACACATACATTTATATACGTACAAATTTATGTACTTCCTCTGACCTTAATGCAGGTTGAATCGAGGTGAATTGCTTATCTAGTGTTTTATAGTTATTACTAGACAGGCGTACATTGCTAAGTCGACCTAGAAATCACAGGTATCGCCACGTTTTAATCTAATAATAATAATAATAATAATAGAGCCCTAGATATACAATTAAGTTTCTTATATTACTGCACTTATACTGATATATGTATATATATATATATATATATATATATGTATTTTAGAAAATTAAAATTGGCGTATTTGGTGCTTGTTTACTCTCTGTAAGTCCATTTGCCAGTTGGCAAAGGCCTCCTCTAACCTACTCCATTCTGATCTCTCTCTGGCTACTCTACTCCATGTTATGCCCGCAACCTGCCTGATATCATCGTCCCATCTTTTTTGTTGCCTGCCTCTTTTCCTCTTGCCTTCCCTTGGGTACCAATGTGTAGTTATTTTGCTCCATTTTTCTTTTCCTCTGACATGGTCAGACGTTTTAATCTGCTGGATCACAAATAATTTTACAGTGCTTTATATATTAAGTCATAACCTATAAAGCTTGCGAATTGGAAACGTTCGCACGGCCTTTTTTAACCTACCTATGCTGATAGCCTAGAGAGGCTATATCAGCGTTACCCTAGCGTGTAGGTGAGCTCACGGGGCTCAAACCGGAGGTGTTGCTAACACTGGCCCTAGCAAGAGCAGTGCCTCGCAGAATCTACCACCGGATCGGAATCGCGACCCACTGAGAAGTTCCGGCGAGAAACTCAGTGGGCCACATGATCAATTACATTATTATACTGGACATATTCGAAACATTCCCGAAAAGTCAATTCGCTAAAAACAGGTATTTCCTAGCACCATTTTTCAAAAGTCATACATAATCTTTGTATTAAAGACATTTATTTACCTCGAACGCCATATATTACAAACGTGAATAACCAACACTAAGTCAGAACCTAAAGTCGTACCTCTGCTGCGGCTTTTGATTGAATTTTTTTTATTGCTTAGATGGGTGGACGAGCTTACAGCCCACCTGGTGATAAGTGGTTCCTGGAGCGAATAAACATCTACGACATAAATGCGCCACCGACCTTGAGATACCAGTTCTAAGGTCTAAGTATAGTTAGTTACAGCGGCTGCCCGCACTTCAAACGTCTTGTGCCCGGCCGGGTAGGTACCACCACCCTGCCTATTTTGCTCCGTGAAGCAGTAATGCGTTTCGGTTTGAAGGGCCAGCTGTTGTACTGTAGAAACCACGGAATAGATAAAACCTTATTTATCTATTCCGTGGTAGAAACTGAGACTTTCGAGCTCATGTCTCGAGGTGGGTGGTGGCATTTACGTTGTAGATGTCTATAGACTCTGGCAACCACTTAACACCAGATGGGCCATGAGCTCGTACACCCATTTAAGCAATAAAAATAAAAAAAAACTCGTTTTTTATTTCATACTAATATTCATCTTACTAATATTTCATGGTTCTATGAAAATACATTTTAGGTTGTTTTCCGAAAATACCTATTTTCCTACACAATAATCGCGTAATCATATGACAATTCTCAAATCCTGTTATCTAATGTCGTAATGAGCGCCGCGCTGCGAATTTTGCTCAAGTGACAGTTCGTGTGTTTCACGTGGAAATGTTGGAGTGTGGTCCACGGTATGAGATAATAGCAATGTTCATTGATGCAACAATAAATTACAGCGATGACTTAGAAAATAATGAGGTCAATTCCTCTTCGATCTTCTAACTAAGGTGCTGGAATATCTGGTAGACTCTGGGAAAGACGGATCCGAAGAGACTAAAAATTAATATATTTCTAAAAGCATTAAATAACTAAGGCTGCCTGTCCGTCGGAGCGGAGTGAGGCAGCGGAGCGGAGAAACGGTGAAATATTGACCAATAAGATTGCAGAAAATCATTTTGCAATCTTATGATTTTGATTTTGTGCAATCTTATTGGTTAATATTTCTCCGTTTCTCCGCTCCACTAAGCTGAACAGGTAGCCTCAAACATAAATAAAAAAAAGATGAGTGATGTCGTGGGACACCGGATAGGAACGAAGTTCCTTATTATAAAAATATTAATTTTAAATTCTATTCGAGGTATAAAGAAAAGAATTACTCGGGTATACATTTTATTGATAAAAAAAAACTACTTTACAAAGTCAGTCAAAGTTTATCAACTTTATTTTATTCACAATAATTTATATAAATATATAATAAAAAAATTGTTGTTTTTTGTACGTTATTACAAAGTTAAGTCGTACACTGAGTGCATTACTAATTTTCACGTTATTACAAGGTTAAGTCGTACGCTGTGTGCATTACTAATAAAAATCTTACGTTACGGACGCTTTTTCCCGGTTCGGGTAACCCTCCGCATCGTCCCATAAGAACTTCGTTCCAAAACAAAAATAGGCAAATTTAGAAAATTCAGGCGCTTAGTAACAGAAATCGACATGATTACTTCAGTGTGCCGCTAGGGCCTACATTGCAGTCAACGTGTTAACTAGCCTCGACCCTATGTTAGCCTGCTCTCAGACCTGGCTGTTCGTCTCAAGTCTATTGTCTCTTCGCTCACCCTTTAAAACGCAACCCATCGTTACTTCACGATTCACTTTCACGGTGAAGGATAACATCGTGTAATAAAAATCGAACCCGCAAAATTATAATTTGCGTAATCACTGGTGGTAGGACGTCTTGTGAGTCCGCACGGGTAGGTGCCACCACCCAGGCTATTTCGGCCGTGAAGCAGTAATGCGTTTCGGTTTGAAGGGTGGGGCAGCGGTAGTTAAAAAGTGAGACCTTAGAACTCGTGTCTCAAGATAAGTGGCGGCATTTACGTGGCAGACGTCTATGGGCTCCGGTGATCACTTAACATCAGATGGGCCGTGAACTCGTCCAACCGACTAAGCTATCAAAAATTAAAAAAAAAAGTGACAGTAAAGCAGATTCGAAGCACTTAATTAAATTTTACTTCATTGTTCGAAATTATAAATATCGAAGGCTGAAATTTGGTTTAAGCGACATTTCGTTTAATAACATTGATCTTTGTAATTAAAAAACCTTAGCCCACAGACACAGCCCACTGAGTTTCTCGCTGGATCTTCTCAGTGGGTCGCGTTTCCGACCCGGTGGTAGATTCTGCGAAGCACTGCTCTTGCTAGGGTCAGTGTTAGCAATTCTCCGGTTTGAGCCCCGTGAGCTCACCAACACAAGCTAGGGTAAGCTGAAATAGCCTCTCAAGGCTATCAGCATAGGTAGGAAAAAAATGTAATTAAAGATACGTTTTATTTCGTATTGGTATCAACGATTCGATATTTTTAATTACACTTCTAATTTTTAATTTTTTTAATTCACTTTAACGGCCGTCTGGTGTAGTGGTAAGTGACATGGTCACTACACAAGGGGGTCGCGGGTTCGAATCCCGCCAAGGGAAGATATTTCTATGATAAATATAAATGTCTTTTCCAGGGTTATGGATGTATATTAAAAATGTGTATGTGTATAATTAAAATCTTACATTTATTTCCGTTATCTGGTACCTGTAACACAAGTTCTTTACGAACTTATCACGGGACCAGTTAACGTGGCGTGACTGTTAGTATATATATTTATTTATTTATTTAAAAAAAGAAAAATTTATTTATTTAAAAAAAAAAAAGAAAGAAATAACTTCAATTATGTTTACCATATTCAAATGGATGAAGAAGTTTTTTTGTCATGACATTTTCCCCAGACTAATACGCTTTTATTAGCTTCAGACGTATGTATGTTAATATGTATGTAACGGAATCTTTGAACATGATTTTGACCCCCTTCAAAACGTCGGATTAACTAGAAATTTGGCATACTTATTAAGGACCGATGACAATTCAATATTTAAAAAATATTGATATTCAAATTAAAAATGAAAAATAAATAATAGTTTAAAAAAACAAAAAAAAATACGCTTTTATAGAAAATCCAACTTTTCATCTGTCGCTATATTTATGTTATATCTCTTGTCGCCTATGCATTGGACCATCGGCACTGAGAGACAAGGCTCTTATTGCACCTTGAAGATTCGCTTCGTGAACATTTCGTGTTCTGCATTGTGTATCGGCAGTACTCGACTTTACTTGTTATCTCTGATTTCTATCTATCACTGCAGTGAGAAGCATTTCATTAATTAAACTGATATCAACGAATATGTATAGATATATTCGTATACATATGTCGTGGATAACGAATGAAGTAA